TATGTATGTATGTATGTATGTGCTCGCCCAAAACCCTCCCCCCAGATCTACAGCAATGGGTGGTTCATGGGGACGTGGGGTGCAAGCAACACTGTAATGCTCAAAAACTTTCAATATTTCCAATTCTCAAACTTACGAAACACTCCAATTCTCAACAAAATGAAAAAATTCAACATTCTGGCATCTGTGGATTGGCAAATCTCTCCAAAAGCTTGGAGGTTTTCGATATGTTTTAGCATTGCAACGTTTTGTGAGGTTCAGGACACGAAACACTTATGTTCAAAAACATTTCAAGAAATTCGCAAATTTATGCCAGGCGAGGGGCAAACACCCCAAACTTTTGGAGTGATGTCAACGACACGAAACTCTGTAGTTTCCAAACCCTCTTCACCCATCTGCAAGCGAGCCGCTGGAAAACCCGGTCGTCCCATTCCAGCTCTATTGCGAGTCATGGTCTAAGATGCACAAACGTTGGCTGATGCCAGACATGCGAAATTCCGCAGAATTACACTGCACACACCCACTGTCCGTATGCAAAGCGCCGATCTTGCGAAATCTTAGCAACAGACCAAGACAGGTTCGTTTGCTGCTACGTTTGGCTAGTAGCTAGACGGCTGTCAACTTTTCTTTGTTCTCAGCAAGTGGCAGAGGACTTCCGCATATCGTGCAGAAAGCTATCGTTCGCTCTGTCCACAGCTGTGGTTTAGAAGCAGTCATAGTTCGTACCGCAAGATAGACGGCAGCTAGGTTCAGCGTTCGAGGAATAAAGGTGCTACAGTTCGCGTCACAAGATAAACAGGAGGTCTCGTCAATCTTCACGCAGCACAAGGCCATCCTACAGTAAGCGTCTTGTGAAGCAGCAGGAGTTCTCGTTACTCTTGGTAGATAGCATGAAAAGGGCCACCCATGCCGATCTTATTTAGATCAGCTTCAGATTTGTCAACTACTCGTATTGATGCTGTGCCGTATCGTGGAAAGAGATATTGATCGCTGTGTCCATGGCTGGTTCTTTAATAGCTGTCACAGATCGTAGCACAAGATAAACAGGAACTCTCGTCAGTCTTGAAAGAAGAAAGCTGCCAGCTTACGTTTCTCTACAAGTCTGCAAGGAGAAAGAGCTCGTAAGTCTCGCGTGATGTGCATAATGAGAGCCCATCGTGTTTGATTTGGCTTCAGATTGGAACATGGTAGGAGCTCTCGTAGTTCTTGCTGTCGAGAAGCCTTATGCTCTCTCCCATGAAAATGAAGTTCCTCTTACAGAGGAGTCTTCCTATCTCGTATTCAGGAAAGCAACTGTTGAAGTTGGTGTTTAGGATTAAAAGCACACGTTGGTTCGGTTTCCTGCATGTCTAATGGAAATGAGTTCTCTGTGTCTTCCCATTATGAAGAGCCCAATGGTCGAACCTCGAAGCGCAAGCACAACCGGACGCTTCAGGTGCAGCGGGAAAGAGACTGCTCAACAAAAAAACGTAAGACAAATTTGTTGTAAGAGGATTGCTGTTACGCAAATAATTTGAGATTTTTCATTACAACATCAACAAACTTGCCACTCCTTCCAGCATGCTGAGCCTTTCCAACAAATAAATTGCTATTAATCTGGGGCCGCAATTCGGCTCCAGATTTACAGACGGACATGTCCACCCACGAAGTATAGCAGCACAGTTTGTATGCACTGAGTGCTGTACTAGTAGATGGAAGCGACCTGCAGCAGTATGGAACAGTCGGGGGTGGATCTTGGGGGGAGGGGGCACGGGAGACCATCCATATTTGTAGACTTTATAGGTGGGTAGGTAGGTAGGTAGGTAGGTAGGTAGGTAGGTAGATAGGTAGATACATTATCCGCATACATACATCCATCGTACATACAGACAAGCAAGCGGACAGGCAGACAGACGGACAGACCGATCACCGGACATATCGTGTCGCTTACATACTGCAAGTTGGTGATGCATTCATGAGGAGTTTAAGCTCGGGGCGGTCGCCATCTAGATGTGCATCCACATAAAGACAAATGGGGGTAAGCCGGGACATGTAGGATTGGCTTTGGTGTTGATTTATTCGCAGCAAGGTGGCAGCTGTGCAGCGCCAGACTTGGGGTGCATGGCAAACTGTACATTCAACGTTCGAACCTTGCCAGAATATTTCTCGAAACTGTGCTGTGAGATAGAACTTGCCGCTCCCATTCAACAGCCGTGGATTGAGGTTTGCTTGCCTGTAGTACCCAAGCTCAGTGCAGCGTTGGGGGCAGCACTGAGGACAGCACTCTGACAATACGTTTGCATACACATATGTCTCTTGCCCAGGAGTGCAGCACTACAAGTCTGGCTTGGAAGAGATCGCAACTATGGAGAATTTAACTTCGCTTGAAGAATGCCTTGTTCAAATCGAGCTCCCCATACAGACCGAGTCCGGGGAAACAAAGGAGCTGATCTCTACGGTCTTGATCATGCATTTTCAAGACATACACATCTATGATTACCGGTCTGCATCCCGCAGGAGGTCAGACAGTTCCGCAGCTTCGTGTTGCAGCTTCGAGGAAGTTGACGGAGCATGCTTTCTGTGTCGCAAGGTTTGAGGCAAAACTCTGCAACTAAGGAAAGCATGCCTAAAAGAGGAAGTCCATGCAGATTTCGAGGCAGATATGGAGGAAGAGATTTGCGATGGGGTGCCTGGGAAGGGCAATGTGGACTTCGACTGCTTGGTAATGATCACGCCAAAGCCTGACGAACGACACTATCAGCGAAAGCCAGGGCTATGATCCTCACGACGACAAAAAAGTGCTCGTGCATGCTATACAAACACTTTGTTTGCAGTCGTATCTGTTTCTCCCAGCTTGCCTTTGTATGAGCTGCCCCGCCCCGATAGTGTTGCACTTCTGCCGTAAATGAGCGAGCGTGCAGCATGCAGTTCGCATGAAGAAACAGCAGGCCGCCGCGGAAATTGCGGAGGAGCGCAGCATCGACGTGGCCAGGGCCCGACCTGAACTGCCTACTGCAGTTAGGGCATGCACACTATATCTGGCACGAAGGGGCTGCAGCTAGATGACGGCACCGCGCCGAGGTCTTGGGAGATCAGCGAATCGAGGATTTGACCAGGGATATCACCACGGCCGGCAGGCCGGGAAAAGATTCTGCATAGCCGAGCCTCAGGAGATGTCTCGAAGAGGAGCGAGGCCGCTAACAAAAAGGGATCGCAGCTGCCAGTTTGAGGCCAGATGAGGTGTAGCGCGATGAAGCCCGATGTGGAAAACTGGCAGTATGAGCGGCAGATCCGGGACATCTCTGCAACGGAGAAACTCGCGGGACACTGCACATATTGTGATACATCAGCGCTGTATCCGGTTTGCGTGCTTGTGTTTGTTTCAGGCTTGTCTTTGTTTGAATCATATGCATGAGAAGAATACTTACAGAGATTGGGCGATGGGTTTGCAGAGCTCTGCAGACCTACCCCTGCAGGGCCGCGATTGATGACATGCTCTCGCCTTTGGAGGGATGGCAAAGAACAGGCACGGTGTAGAGTCTGCAGTGTAACGCAGGAAGCCTGTTGGCAAGAAGCAAAGGGCCGATTTTTTGGTTCAACAAAGCATCCGAGACCCTGTTTTTGGAAAGCATGAAGCGGAGACGCAGATATCCTGTGAAAGGCGCGGCGTTGGTGAGTGGCATGGTCCTGTCCCTACTTTTGGTGCTCCTCGCTTCTTGCAGCACTGCAGAATGATGCACTTGTTTGATGTAATATGTTTAGTGTTGGTAGCAGAAAAACCCTCCGGTGCTGTCACAGCTTTGCCGTTGGTGATTCTCCAGTCGCGGCCACCTTCCCAGAATTACCAGAACTGGCATCAGCATGCCGCAACCTGCATAACTGCATGACTGATGACCTTCTTGCAGACTTGCAGAATCCGTGCCAGCTCCTGAGGCCAACCTCGCAAATCTCAGGAAGAGGCAGATTGCTCGCACTTGATGGCAGACGCACACTCCAGCCTTCGTCCATGTCGCCATCTTGCTCCAGGAAGGCCGAAGCCAGCGCAGGCTCCGAGGAGGCTTCCGCAAGCAGCCAGAATTGGAAGATTTTGATGATCTCCTCGTGCAACGGTACAAGCTAGTGCTACGTCACGGGAAACGCACAAAGTGACAGCTGCTTTCAGGGCCTCGGGCTGGCGGACTTTGCGGACCCAGAGCTGTCAGGGCCTCGATGTTCGTCTTTTCTCTCTCTCTCTCTCTCTCTCTCTCATCTCCTGCCTTTCATGCAAGGATCTTTGGGTTTGTGGTCGCTGTGCCGCGCTACGTGCTCTCCACGGCGCTGAAGGCACGAGGCAACTGCGAGCGAGACCGTGCATAGTCGTGCATGGGTCTTTTTCCGGACCGTGCAGGCACCGACTCTGTTGGCGGGGGTGCTTGCTTTCTACCTCGCTTGCGCGGTGCGCTGTTGTTTTTCCCTGTCTGGCACAGCCCAACTTGGAAGAGCTTGCGCCGTTGCCGCCAGGTATTGCCAAGTGGTATTCTTGGTGATCTGATCATGATAGCAGCCGAGGAGGGGCCAAGTAGGCAGAGCCTACGCCTATGCTTCGCAAGACCCTCATATCCTCATTATGTGTCATGTGACGCCTGGCGGCCTGGCAGGCGGTGCTCTTCCGCGTCATCTTGCAGGTCTTGCTGCGGGATCGGGACTTGATCCTGGCAGAGAGCATCAAAAAAGTTTGCCAGAAGAAGGAGTGCTGTGACAAGTTTGTTCTCATCACGCTGGGCACAATCGGGCAGCCCCTCCCAAAAGGATAGCGGTTCAGTCGTGGCCGTGCTCGGTGCCGCTCACTGCAACGGTGTGCGGAGGCTGGGTGCCAAGCTTCCGCATTCGCCACGTTGCATTTCCTTGCCAGTGCCCACACCACTAACTGAGGTTCATGTTGATTTCTGTAGTTGCTGAACATCTTCTGCGTGTAGCGCATAAGTTTACCTGCCTGCAAACATGCATGCATACATACCTAGAGGCGTATACATGGAAAAGTTTAGTCAGATGCTGATGGTACACCGTATTTGTCTGTGTATGTCTCGCAGGATGCATGGTTTCTTTATGCATCCCGAGTGTTCGTGGCTCTGCACGACAAGCTCTGTGTTCATGCGCGATTGTCCTATGTCCAATGGTGCGACAGTGGCAAATCGCATAGTTCAAGCTACAGTGTACATCGTGTGGAGTCTGCTGTGTCTCGAGAAGGCTGCTGCTGGAGGGCTTGCCGGAGAAGCAGCTGAGCGACGATGTGAAAGATGCTGAAGTCCCTGAAGCCGAGCCTGTAAACGTCTCCTGACCTCTGCAAAAGCTGTGAGCGGTCGTCGCAGACAGCTACCAATGTAGTCTGTGCTCAGAAAAGCCTGCTGTGGTTTGTGGAGCTGTGTGAAACAGCACGGCCCCAAACATGCAGAAAGGAGGAGAGCGGCCTTTTCTAGAGCCTCGTAGAGATCGTGATCAAGTTCAAGCGTTTCAAGCCCACGAGGTGGGTGTTGATGGTTCTTTCCACACTCCTCCTGCGGAAGCATGTCCGTTCCTTCGTACAAGGATCTCAGAGTTAGAAGTTGAGGGTGCACGAGCAATGGCGAGACAGAGAAGAAGTGTCTTTCATCCAACCTTGGTATAAGTCCTTGTATGTCGGAAAGGGACGGTTTCTGAAGGTCCGCATCACGCCAACAAGAGCAATGGCCCCGACCACCGCCCCCCCCCCCCAACAGGAAACGGAGAGAGCAGAAGAGGCTGCCACAGGACCGGACGTACCGACGGAAGTGTAAGTTGCAAACTACAAGATCTTCCTCGCGTCAGCGCGAGAGTTTTCCCAGGCGCTCGAGAGCCTGGCCAGGAGAGTAAAAGCTGCTCACGGGCTTCGACTGCATTTCATGGCGGCGCCGCTGCAGTCATGATGGCCACTACATCTGACGACTTGTTAGTGCACCCAGCGTCTCGGTTTCAAGCACCGAGATGGCCAAGCTTTAAACCGTTTAAATCCTTGACTGTACAAGTGTTGGCATGCATTCCGTTCCGAGCCGCCAAAGCTAGCCAGCTAGCCGAGTAGTTTTGCGAAAGCAGGTCTGATCATAGGGGAAGCATTGGGGAAGCAATCAGAGTGCAGTGGGACTCCAAAGCGTGCCGTCATGGCCGAGTACTCACCCGTTGGCGCCATTCTCAGCAGCCGCGGCAAACTGCAGTCGAAGTCAAAGGCTGATGCTGATGCTAAGCTAAGGTCTCGCTATCATTGCCGTGATCATGGCTTGCGACATCCTTGGACTTTGGGAGCCGTTGCCGCCAAGACGTTTGGTTTGAGGATGACTCACATTGCTTTGCTCGCCCCTGTTAGGTGTCGTCCTGTTAAATGGTTACTTCTGGAAGCGCTTCGTGGATGCCGAGGATTTGCTCCGCATCAGGCTTGTATCGTTCGCATTGCAGAGCCGTCGTAACCAGGAAGTCCGGCAACATTTGCAAGATGGGACATGCCGTGTGCCAAGTCCATGCTTTCACAAACGAGGGCCTTGCACTTCCTGTCTGCCCAGGTGAGATAGTGTCCCCTTCGCATTATAGCTCCGGTTGGAAAGCAGGCCGGTCATGTTCCCGAACGTAGCTCATGAGATCCACTTGTCGGTCATGACCGCTGATTCTGTGTCCCACCTTCCGCAGCTGGGAAGCGCTTCGGTTCTGTGGACGATGTGCCTTTGGCCAGGATGGGAATTTCCGATCATCGGGTGCGCCGGCACATTTGTGAAGGGACTGCTGTGCGTTGCACATAGAGATCCTCCAGAGCTTCATCGCAACCTGTCAATTCCGAGCTCTGACTGATCCACAACTTCTCGAAGCTTGAGAGCCGTTCCCGGAAGGCCCTCTTGGACAGATGTGCCCTGCAGCTTGAAGCTGAAAGTCAAAGGGGATGAGGAGATCGTGGGGAAGCCTCGCCCTCGGGAGTTTCGTCTGGAGTGGGCCTCAGCCTCGTCGCTGTTTCTCGCATGGCGTCTCAGGACCAGCCTCCACTTCACTTACTGGCAAGGCTGGAGATGAGCGGCGTGCATCCTTCGCAGCTATGATTTGGCCTTGTTTTTGTCGGCAGGGATCGTCTGGGACTATGTGCAGGACGCCGGATCTCCTGAGTGCACCAAACTGAACGTCGTAAAGCGCTCTGAAAGGACAGTTGCTCGAAGCTCATCCCCACCAAGGCTGCAGGCGGCTTAGAGTGTAAAAGACGCTCCCCAAGGCAGCTCAGTCCTCTCAGACTGCCAGAACATTCTCGCAAGCGCTTACCCGACTCAATTCCCACCGACAGCAGATCTGACGTAGCAGTCATTTGAGGACAAGCCCTTTGATTGCGCCTATCTTCTGGGCGAGCACGGTGGCCTCTCCAGGGCTTATGCCGGAAGACTCAGAGAACGTAGAGAGCAGAGAGAGGTAGAAGTTAAGCACTCGTCTCTTGCAATCCCAGGTTGGCAACGTTCGAGACTTGCCCCGCTTGCCGCTGCTCTTTCTCATGAAGGCGAGGCATGGGTAACCTCGGCTCGCTCGGCTCGTCAATTGGTCTCTGTCTACAGTGCGTTTCTGCATCTCCAAGGCTTGCGGGCTTTCCGCTTTGACCCTTGGCCCCTTCTTGCCGCAGACCCGGCTCTTTGAAGCCGGTTTGCCGACTTCGGTGTTGCGGTGCATGATTATTCTCAAGAGGTGTGTATCATAGGTTGGATACGGACTGACTTCGAAGGTTCTCTTCTTGTGTGTGATTCTGTCCATTTTTCTCATGACCCAGGCTGATATGCATTGGAACGGCTCGGGGCGCATCCCGTGCGTCCGGGAGCCCAGTTCGGCTGCGGCGGGCAGGAGAAGGAAAAGAACAGCAGAGGCGTCCATGACGCTCGTTCTGGCGAAATCATGCGAGGATCCAATAAACCCTCCTGCAAACTCGAGGCTGAGACGTGGGGTGCTTCTGCTGCGTTCCAATGTATCGCTCGATTTTTCGGCGGCTTTCTTGGGACGAGGTGAAGCTGGAGGGTGTTAAGTATTAAGATGAGTCAGAATGACAAGGCTTGCTTTCCGACTCCTGGGTGAGCTTTTAGCCCACGTGCCTGCAGGGACGTTTTTCCCACCCACCATCAGCAAGTTCCGGCATGGTCTTCCCGAGGCGAGAGATCGTTCCAGAAGGCTCGCAGCAAAATAGCCATGGACACTGCATGCTTCGGGAAAGGCGGGAGTTTTGGCCTTCTCTGTTGGTTGCATCTGCACAACAGGCGAGAACACGGCCTATGCGCCGCTTGACTCTGGAGAGGGTGGTGGCTGAGCATGGCTCGGAATGCGTTGAGCCGCCGACTGGGAAAGAGGTGAAGTCTGTGTTGCCCAGATCGCAATGTACATGACTGCACAGATAGGTATGCATACAAGAAGCTCTGCTTGCTTGTTTGCTTGCTAAAGGGAGTATGTTAATCATGATCGTGAATATAACAGCAATACTACAGATGTCGCCGTCCACCAGAAGATTGCTCATAATCCAGACATATTATTTATTGCACTCCCAGTTTACTTGCTGTTAGCATTCTCCGCATTGGTGTCTCGCTGTGAATTGAGGGTCCAAGGTGCTGCCTGATCTCTGCACTGCCTCCAAGCCGGCGGGGTAATGCAACGTTGTACAACCCTTGCTGTACCAGGATCACGTTTCGGAACTCACTGCACTCGTCGGCCTGTCTTCAGCCCATGCAATGCCACAGTGTTGTCCGGGTCCGGATGCTTCTGAAACACCGCAACCCACACCGGCACACCGGACATGACACATGCCTTTTCAGATATGACGTGGACTCACAACTCTGAGCATGTCGAGTGTCAGAGAAGGCATGACTTCTGGTGATCAGCTGAATAGAATATCGGACATTCAAAACGGGGTTGCTCTTCTACGAAGCTCGCGGCTCAAGTCTCAAAATGCCAGGTCAGAGTGCGTGTATCCCCAGTGCCGTACACAGCCTGTCCTCAAACAGCACGTAACGAGAGACACACCAGGGTGCAGCCCCATGTGCACCCACATGCGATGAGTGAAAATGGAAACAACACTCCACATGCGCGGAAGGCCATTGCCCCAGTGAGATTATGGCAGGTGAAATGATTCATGTCATGTCAGTCATGTCCATCTGCCACATGTTTGTCCAGGATAGCAGTCAGTGATCAGAGCCTGTTGGAAGGCCCGTCACAAACATCACCTGGGACCGCTGAGCTGGAAGCTTAACCGTCTCTCGAGATGGTTCACCTGCGCTCCATAGCCGCAGTGTTTGGGAGCGAAGGGCCTTTTGCCTTGAGGCTACGAGAATTTCCGGAAGGTGCGCGCAGCGCAAGGGAAAGGATGCGAGGAGTCATGCAAAGCCTCGATGCGCTCCTGCTCGTCTTCTTGCTTTGTTGAGTAATTATCTTGTTACCTGTTTATGCTTGTTCTTGTTCCTTTGTTCTATTGTCAGTGATCTTGTTTCGCTTCTGGGTACTGCTGAGCCAAGTGACAGCGATTTCCTGATGCAGCTTGACGGGCCGCTTGTCAGGTGGACTCCTTGCAGCTCCATGCGCCCTTCGACCACAAGGACCCTGCCAAGGTCAATTGAAGCCATCATGGCATGGGCTTCAACGAGGCTTCTGCCTGCGCCTTGATGAGGAGCGGCATCTTGCAGAGACCAGGTCAAAGTGTGACGCTCCCAGTCCGGGACAGCTTTCGACAAGACTGCACTTCGCAGGGTTGTGTCACAGGCATAGCGAGCTCCTTGGGAGTGTTGCACACACAGCCCGTCACTGGAGGCCTGGAGACCGGCCGACGAGAGGAGCAGCTGGCAAAGACGCCCGACCGAAGCCTTCGCGTGAAGTTGTTGCACTTTACCCCCTCCACCCTCACATTTTTGCCTTCCCGGCGCGACTCTGGAGGCCTAGAGCCGGCTTGGCGGCGGTAGTTGGCCTCCTTTCTGCGTTCTTCCCCGTCTCTCTTGTTGTCGTTGTCTCTGGAGCGCTCAGAGCTTGTTTCTTGGGCAGGTTCCATGCATCCCCGATCACTATATACAAACAAAACTGAACCAGAAGACCCCAGCGGGTCGAAACCATCCAAGCCCTACACGTAAATCCCAGCAATCCAGGACCCTTATGCCCGCTGCCTATAAGGAGTTCCCAACTCCTAACCGAACGGGGGGCTACGCAAACTTGGCCCCTTCAACCCCCGAAACACTCCGCAACCCCGATTGATGGTCTTTCCCTCTTTGCTGGTTGTTTTCTTTGTTTTCGGCCCATGACATGCGGACGAACACTGAGCTCCAACTTCAGGGGCTGCCGAGGCAATATCATATTAACCTGACATCATGGCGCCTGCAAAGTTCCTGCTTCCAACCAAGGAGACTCCGGCAGTTCTTAAATGCCTCTCGGCTTGGATGCAGGCAGAAATCTAGTAACATTCGTTCTAGCACACGTTACCGCGGCCAATGATGCCTTGATGCCTTTGGACCGGAGCATCTTAGGTTCTGGTCGGGATCAGCGTGGGCATTGCGGCGGTGCTTGTGAGATACGGCTGCGAACTTCTGGGTGGTCTGAAGCCAAGCACAACATCGAAAGATGCACGATGATAAACGCATTTTTGATGGAGCAGAGGTCCTTGTATGTGGTCAAAGCACGCTTCTACTCCTGGAATGTTGGTAGCTTTTTGGCGAAGGTCGGCGGCGGGAGGCGTTCCTCCATCTTTTGGAAGGCACGACGATGAGGGTTCAGACTCCCTTGTTCCGTGCTGGAGCCTTCATCACAAGTGTAAGGCTCGGGATTTCCATCTCGTCAAAGGCTTCAGACACTACAGTTGCTGGAGAGACGCTTGCAGGTAAGCGGTCATGGGACTGGGAGTTCGCTGGAGCCGTGTCGGTGGACACAGCCTGAGTTTCTTGAAGATGCTTGCGGCAGCAATCGCAGCTTGTGCTGTGCAGGAGCGCAGATGTTCCTTTCCGGCTTACCCCGAAATTTGCGCTAAGGCAATGGGTACGACTGCATGCTTCGCTTTGCTGGCACGAGCCTTAGAACCTCTGGGAGTTGGGGCCTTCGAAGTCGCAGGCGGCGCCTGCAGCCTTTCTACAAGCGTTGCTAGAAAAGCCATCATCACCACAGCCCCAGACAGGGCCCATGTACACCATGCACCTCGTCTTGGTTCGGGCCAACTCGACTCTGCCGCTGGCAGGCGACAGTATGCGTCCTGCTCGTGCCACAGAGTTCCGGATCCGGGATTCCAGGAGCAGGGGCGTCAGATGACACGACTCCTGAGGGCTCGACACCATAGGCACTGCAGTCCCTACGCTGCAAGGTCTTGGCCTTCTTGAATGGCGTTGACCTGCAAAGCGTCCACCCTTCAGATCGTAAGCTCGTTGTAGGGTGTGAGACACACTAGGTGTTGTCGGGTGACACACACTTCTCAGCAGCCTGCCCTGTTCTCAGTCCCTGCGTGGTCCGGTCCTCGTGGCCAAAGCACTGGGCACCGTCTGGGACCTGAGACGATAAAAGACGCCAAGCTGGGGGCAAAAAGAGAGGAAGTCACCTCGAAGTCGCTGCTCAGGTCCTTTCCGTAGGTGGTGGACTGGCAGTGGGGCCAGAGGGTCCGATGGTTCACATAGGCCGGCTTGCGTGAAATTCGAGCAGGGTTTGAGACGGGGCACCACCGGATTGATCTGGAGAGTCGTTGGACAGCCAAGTTTAAGTCAGAAAAGCTTAGGAGCTAGACGGCACTGGGAGGTGCCATTGTGGGCATGCTGGTTTGTCGACGTATGGTCGCGCCCGCACTGCGCCGTTTCGGCCATGATCTCAGTGACGGCGAGATGGGTTGACGAGCGTCTGCAGAAGAGAGTCGTGCATAGAACTGTACACAAAGCAGCGGCAGTACTAGCAAAGTCCCAACATGGCGAGGTTCTGATGTGCACATTCTTGTTTCGGACGTTGCTGCTACAGAGCATCTGCTCGCCTGTGGCGGTGCTCCTGCGATAAGGGCCGCTGTCCCGCCGCGTGGAGGATGAACTCTCACGACAACCCTTGCGCTACCATGTACAGGCTGCCAGAGTACTGTGAACCCTTCCGTGTCAGTCCTGCAGTTGAGACTACTGCACCCTCCAAATCCCACTGGCGAGTCGAGCAGGCGGCCGTTATGGGTGCCGGAGCGGGAATCGCTGCGGCCTTCAACGCGCCGAAACCTTAGCGGCTCTAGAAAGAGAAGGGCTCTTCCAGGTCTCAGAGGGTGGAATGCCCCCCTCGTGCGATGCAGAGTTGCAATCTGACCTTTGCCGGGAGCTGTATGCTGCCTGCAGGCCGTTAGCAGGAACTGTTTTTGCCGGGGCCCCGTGCTGCCCTTGACTGTGTCTCACTCATCAACCTGGTCCCTGCCACCTGCCAGGTCGTGGAGGAGGCAGCTTCCTTCTTTTCAAAGCGCTTGCACGGCTGGCATGTAATTTGATAAGACACCCAGCAGCCATAGGCTGGAGCATTTCAGGATGCCTTGTGCACCAGATCAACTAGGAGTCCCCAGGCTAAAAGGAGACCTGCTCCGGGTTGTGTGGCACATCCGTTTCGGCTTGTTTAGGCTACATGCTACTTACGCTGCATGCATTCTAAGTAGTCATCCGAACGCAGCCAGGTTGCTCCACTCCTTCATCAGCTGCGCATTTGCGGTTGCCTCTTTGGCCGCAGCAGCACGGGTACAAGCCCGGACGAAAACAAGCCTTCTTAAATTGGAGGTGACCAAATGCTGCGAAATTTCTCGCGTCAGCCGGTTTTGCTGATAGCATGCAGAAGCTCCAACCAGCTAAGTTGACGTCGAACGGGCTGTCCGATTTGATGGGCTTGCCCGGCGAGTGGGCCGCCCAGATTGTGTGAAGGAAACAGAGGTTGCTGCTTGCATTCCGACCCAACGACCCTGTCGGCAAGTTCTTTCTGTAGCAGGCAGACACAGACAGACAGACAGGCAGACAGACAGACAGACATGCGCTCTGTCTCTCTCTCTCTTTGTTTCCCGTTGTTGCTGCTGCAGATTTTGTTCAAGAAGCAGCCTCCTCAGGTCTATATACGAGCGGACTGCAGGCAAGTTCGATCTGCATCCAAGATGCTTGTTCATTGGCAGACTTCTATCAAGCCCTCCCTCGCTGTCATATGCTACTTGCGCTGAGTTCACATGTAAGTACTGTCCGGTTTGGCCTGCCAGCCTGTCTACGAAAATCGTCATGGCAATCCTGGGTCCGCTACAGCTGGATGCCAGTCCACGTCGCCGTGCGACGCTCAGGGGCACTCAAGAGCAGGATTATCTACAGAGTCTGGGAGACGGGCAGCCAGCAATGCAGAGCTGTCGTGCTTCCCCTCGGGTCCGAGGTGGTTGGAGTGCTTTGCGGATTGCTGGCGATTCTCTTCAATCGACTGGTGCCTCGACCCGAAACTGTCCCTTTTCCTCGGGTAAGGACCAAAAGGCTTGATGACCATGTTGTCGTAGCGGGTGAAACATACGTAGTCGATGCTGCTGGCTGGCACCACATACATGGCGCGCTGCTGTACAATGCACCGTGCTGCGCTGCAGCGGCGCTGCATCGCAGCGATGCGCTTCAAAATGTCACGCAGACTTTTACCGGTATCTGCTAATATGCAATATGACAGGACATTGAGACAGTATTCTGCATACTGTTGCACTTGTGCAGCAGCATGCAGAGGCACATGTAGCCTGCATCACTGTAAGAGTGCCGAACTTGTGACAATGTCATCATAGGTCGTCAAGCTCAGCGTCCACTTCATGCTTGAGGCACACGGTTTTGAATTCGAACTGTGCGCCGTGGCACCGGATCCTTTGGACTCTCCTTCGTCACACAGTTTGCTGGTGAATCAGAACGAGGCACAGCGTTTGGGCCGTGGCCGTGCGCTGTTCCTGCGTCGATTCGTCTTCTCCCTCCTTGCCATGGAGCTCAGTCCTGATGCTTGCAGAGTTCCACAATGTTGCAGCTCATCCCTGACTGAGGTTGGAGCTTGCTGCGGGGTCTCCTCGGCAAGTTTGCTCGGCAGTTCCAGTGACGTGCTCGTGGAGATGTCCATGAGTGAAGTCTTCCGTGTGCAAGGCCTTCGCGATCTGCTTACCGCACTCGCAACCTTGCCCTAAGCTCAGTCACAGAAGTCCGACTAAATCGAGTGAACAACGACCAATGCTAGCACATTTGCAATGTCGTGGTGTGCGGCTCACTGCACGCTGTGTAGCATCCATATAAACAATAAACCGTGACTACTGTAAGAAGTAGCAGTAGTATTTGGCTGTGGCGAGGAGTTAGTCTGGAGTTGGATTCCCAGCTGGTCCTGTAACTAGTCGTGACCAGTTTCCAGCTCCGACACAGGCACCGAGTCCAGCCTTCAGAATGCTTTCCACGGCAGCAGTGGCTGCATTTTGGAGGACTCGCGAGCACCCATGATGTGGATGGCAACGTGCACATGCCCATGCCTGGAACAGCAACCGTCAGCAAGTTCGTGTTCTTATTCGTCTCATTGAAGTGCGTTGGCTTTGAAACTTGTTCCCTTTTGCATCAGCTGATGAGTCGTGGCTGGCACCACGAGCATGAACTGACGTGAGCAGTCTAGCCCCAGGCCGAATTCTGCTTCGCAAGGACTGGCTCCACCAGTTGGTCACTGGCTCCCGCACGGTGAATTCCAGCCAAATCAACCCAGAGGTGCGGCTCGTGACGAGATGGAGATTACACAGAGAGGTGAGTACAGACGCCAGCATAACATATGCACATGCCTCCCTACCTAAGCGAACCTCGCCTATCTACCTACCCACCCACACGCACACACACACACACACAGAGAGAGACAGAGACATGCTCCCACATGCATACTCCCACAGCGGATGCAGGTCTAAATCTGGTTGTACGGGCACGAATGGTCTCCTTCTGGATACAAGCACGATCGATGTGTACAGTTCAAGCGCCGGCGTTCAAAAAGTTGTTGTCATTTTCCCGTTGATCTGCCTTTGTCAGTTTCTTGAAGCCGTGCCACATCTGCAATAGCATGCTTTACTTGAGCTCCAGTCCGGCTGATGTATGAGTTCTGCATGAACAATGAGGTTGTTGCCGTTGTTAGATTCAAAAAGTAGTCTTGGACACGTGCATGCATACCGCATGAACGACATTGAATCCTAGCGTACAAGACTCGTCTTGCATCATATTGAGCAATGTTACTTCGGTGATGCCGATTTTCTGCGTAACCACTCTCGACGCACAGCCTGTGACGAGCAAGGGTCCGCTCTTCCTCAGGGCCGTGGCGCAAGAGCCCATTAGTTTGAGCGCCCAAGTTTCGTTGTTTGAGCTGCCCAAGCAATCCAGCGTCCGTTTAAAGGCATCCCTCCACCTTTATGGTGGATCAGGGACTGAATGTTCGGAGTCGGGAGGCGAAGTTTATGTCCACGCGCGATGCTGTTCCAGTGACCTTCGCTGGGGGAACGGCCATCCAAGAGCGAGAGAGAGAGAGAGAGAGAGAGACACCTCGCAAGTCTCTGCAGGTGCGCGACGACAACCCGATGAACCGCACCATGAGTTATGTCTGCGGCCTCTGAGTGCAGAGCCTTCTGAGATGCTAAGGCCTAAGGCCCGTCAGTACCCTGATTTTGCAGAGGTGCCACATCCAGGTCTCTTCGGCATCCAATATGATCCGCTGAGTTGCCTGGTCCCCATCTCTGCCGTGAATGCGAGCATGAATGAAATGCATGGTCTGCCAGTGGCCTAAGCATTTTTGACTAAGATGTAGCTTCGATCGGACGGTGCGCAAGGTCCCGATGCGATTCTGATCAATCCGAACTGCAGTGTGAACCGTGCCCTGGCTGCGCAAGCTGAGTCGTCCATCATAACGGAGGGAGTTGTGAGAGTTGTTGCGGAGCTGCCGAGCCACAGTGCACTGCAATCATCTTAGACATTGAGCAGATGGTTCACCCAAAGCGGCTCCCCTCTCAGCAGCATCAGTCAAAAATTCGGGGACATGTGAGGTTTTGGTGATCTGCTTTGAAGCTCCTAAGGCCGAACGAATACTGTTGCGGATTTCGAACAACACTGGAGCTTAAAGCAGGAAAGCCTTAACCTCGGCTCTCTTCACTCCGACGAGCTGTCCTGCATGGTGGCACGAAGTCTTTCACAATGTGCAGAGGTTTTTCAACTCTACTCGGCCATGGGCTCCTTTGAATATGGGCCGCGAGCCAATTCCGACCTTCCTGTGTACACGACGGTCAGCCGTGCCAAGGGCAGAACTGGCCTGCGGGCTCCTGTGACAGTTTGAGCCAAGTTCTCAGGGACCACGAAACTCTTTGATGATCTTGCTTGCATGCTCCTGGGGCACTTGCTGAGATTGGAACGAAGAGAACAAGATCTTCATGAACTACTACAGTCAGCTGCCAGCGAGGGTTTCCAGATAGTTGTGCAGGAGTGGCATGATGCTTTCGGTGTCACCACAGGCCCTGGGGCGGCTCTGACGCTGGTGTCGCCGACGCATGTGGTTCGAAATCTATTGGTGCGTGGTGCGCCAACAGCTTAGCTTGGCGAGTTCGCGGAGCTTGCGGCCTAAGGGCTTCTGAAATCTGGGGTGGCCGAGGCGAATGTGCTGTTGAGTTTGATGTACTGAGGCCCATGGTGCTGCCCTTGTCCACCGTGCTGTTGTTCTTGGTTTGCTGGGGGCCTCAACTGTCTTGTCGAATCCACCACACGCAGTCATGGGCGAGTCGTGCGAAAACAACGTGCTGCCATCCGGACTGAGTTTTCTTCGTCCTGGCAGCCTGCAGTGCCACCGCCTGGATGCAGTGATCTTACAGAGCTAGGTACAGGCACTGGACTTGCACGGTCTTGCTTCACAGAAGGAAGCTGGAGCAAAGTCGGGACTGGAATACGCTTGAAAGTAGTGGGCCAGCAAGCCGACGCGCGACAAGAACTCTGCAGGCCCGGAGGTCTTCTCGTTCCGATGATGTGCATCGGGGCGGCTGCGGGTCCGAGACTCGGAGGCCGAGGCCGAAGTCTCGAGGCTACGCGTGGAGCGCTTTCAACATGGGGCTTCTTGCGAGGTCGTAGCTGGGCTGTGGGCTGGGCTGGGCTGGGCTGGGCTGGGCTACGAAGCCCTCGACAACCTAGCAGTGGACGCTAAGCGTCTGGGATCCAAGCAGCGACGGAAGGTTACTGCTTTGGAACAGAAAGTCTGCAACATGTCTCAAGAACTGAGAATGGTGGATGCCATGACTTGGTCTTGAAGCAGCGACCACAAGTCAACCTCCATGTCATGAGGTCGACTCTACGGCATGTGCTGGCACCGGTCTCGACTGGGTTGGTTCTTTCCGCTTTGAGAGTTGCGGGAAAGTCCACGAGTCTTGAAGGGTAGCAGCGGAATGTGTTCGCTTCTGAACCGCCAAGGCACTGGATGCTCGGATTGACCACTGGAGCCGGAGTGTGCGGTGCTCACGGGCTCACGCGATCAGAAGCATGCCAACATTTTCCTCTCTCGCGGCATTCGGACTTTTGACCTGTTCTCAGTTGGCCGCCCCCTGCCATCCCGTGGATCCCCGAGATTCAGCAGCTCCTGGCCGCACGCTCAGCCTTGCTGTTCGCCACAGTTGGGAGGTTCCGGGGCACAGCCGCGAAAAGCACTGACCAGGACTTCTGGCACCCCAAGTCCGCAACCGTGGATGTTGAGAGCAGAGCTGAGTTGAAGTCAACCTCCCATGTTTGGATGTTTGCTGCTCACTGCTGGTCGTAGTCCTCGGGAAGGAGACGCCGCTTCTTATAAGAGGTTGCGCAGAAGAAGCCTGCAATTCGAGTGCTGTCGGATGCAGCTCGAGGCCGGGCATCCTGGCCTTCGCAGGCGGTCCGAGCAAAGATTGCGAAGCCAGTCCTGAGATGCTGCAACTTCCGCTTGTTCCGCTTGGAGGTTGCGCAGCCTTCCTGAGCGGGAGTGGCTCCCTCGTGATGTTTGCCCCTACCTCAGCAGATTCGCGAGGGAGCGAGGGAAGTCTGGCCGCAGGTGCTGTGCAGCTCATTGAGCTCTCTCCTTTGCCAGAAGCCATCGAACCCGCGGCAGCTCCCGCGCCTGAGACGCGATGGGCTGCGGCGCCGCCTCGAAGTACGAGCAGGATGAAGCGCTTCGTCGTGGTCTGGAGGTGGCAGTGGTCCCCGAGTCTGAGCTGGGCCAAGAAGACGCGGAGGCTGTCTTCAAGGACAGCGCCAGCACGAGCATCCCAGAAGCTCGAGAGAGCTCCGCTGCAGCCCGGGGCGCCTGGCAGATGGAGGTTTCCCCGGGTCTTTGGGAGACTCTCTCTTCGGATGTGAACATGACTCTGACGGAGGCCTGCCATGCAGGCCAGCTGGTGGTGCTCTATTCCGTACGTGGTGCCCGGCCCAGCGAGGACGCGAGCTACGACGTGGACTTCCGCACCTTGCTCCAGACCAACCGCAAGACGGGGAAAGCCCAACAGCTCCGCTGGGATCAGACTGCCTTGGCTCCAGGCTCTCAAGTCGCAGCGGGACCGGGAGCCCATGACGGGGCTCGGACGAGATATCAGTGGGAGTTGAGGGATGGGCTCTGGGCAGACTTCGAAGAGGAGGAGGAGCAGTACATCGTGCGAGCGTGGATGCATGGTCAGGACTTCATTCGATACGAAGCTTGGGGTCTCGAGTACGAGATCAACTTCCCAAGAATGGTTCAGATCAATCTCTCGACAGGGAACAAACGACACATTCGCGTAAAGCCAGTCGGGACCCATTATGCTGAAGTGCCTCGATCGCATACCGGAAGCGACGAGCCGGAAAAGCCGAAGGAGCCTGAAAATCTGAGGAAAGAGGAGGCAACAGCCAAGGCCAAGACGGAACCCCGTCAGGCTCACTCCACAGCCAGGAGTGCCCCGGAGAAGAAGCGCTTCAGCCTGGGCAAAAAGCCCGGCGACCCATCCGAACGCAAGGAAGAACCTCGCGGAGGACCCGGCGAACCCAGGGCCAGGCCCACAGGAGACAGAGAGACGCAGGCACCGCAGGCGCCCCGCGAAGATTTCGAGCTCCCGGCGGGTGCATCCTGGCCCGCCTTGCCTGCGGCGAGGGAGGAGGCAGGAGTGCTTTTCCAGCGTCTCTGTAACACACGCCAGCTTGCCACCGCAGAGAAGAGGTCGCATTACAAGGCTCAATGCTTAGCGTGGCATCCAGACAAAAACCTGGACAAGCAGGAGGTGGCAACAGAAGTGTTCAAATTCCTGCAACTGGTTCGCGATTGGTATTTGTCGTCTTGATGGTCGGAAGTCGGACTCCTTGCGTGGATGTCGCCTTCCAGTACAGCCTGCATCGTGCCTGCGGTTTTCGACCGGGCTCGGAGGCAAGCGGCAGTACTTGCTCATGGTCGCCACGGAGGGCAGGGCCTTGAACGGCGGATCATACCATGGGCTGGCAAAGCACGCTGCAGCGTGCAGCATCCATGGTGTTAACGTCAAGCACGAAGACAGGAAGACGTGACATTCGCTGGGCCTAAGTCTGGCCCGTGATCCCGGCAAGACCCCACAACTTGAATGAAAAAGTTCGACGTTCCTGAAGCTTGCCATGTCCCTCCTCCTCCTCCTCCTTCGCTACTGCTACTGCTGCTGCTACTGTACTGCTACTCCTACTACTCCCGCTCCTACTCCTACTACTGCTGCTGCTGCTGCTAGTGCTACTTGTCGTTGCAGACGTGTTGGCGCGTCTGCTGCTGCTGCTGTTGCAGCCGCTGCCGAGTGCTGGGTGCTGCTGCTGGTTCTCCTGCTTGCAAGCAGTCTTTTGATAGCCGCTGTATACGTCATCCCTTCCAAGCATTGGTAAAGATTTCGGCGTGCGTGTGCGTATGTTTCTGCATGCATGCATGTATGCATGAAAGAGCATACGGTTTGTATATACATGTATATCATGTAGACACCAACACGGAGGTGCACATTATGTCCATTTGTCCGTCGTGGTCTGTGTCAGGATTGTTTCTGTACGTATATGAAAACCATGCACAGAAGTTCAAGACACCATGCATCACAAGTCAACGAAGCTCTGCTTCATTGCACGAAGGTCCTGGTGCTGCTGTTGGAGGTGTCCCTAGAGCTGGGTACCAAGTGTTCCTCAGCGGCTGGCAGAATGCCACGAAGCGCCTCAACACAAAACAGCTGCATGCTGTTGATGTTCAGGCCCTTCATGATTCCGGTGATCTTGATCTCGGTCTTGGCAGCACGAAGCACTACGTCGCCTCTTGAATTCAATGTGGGGTTCGCCATGTGTTGGCGGTCCATGTGTGTCAGTTAGGGTCTTCCGGTTTCCGGTTCTCGGGTCTGGGTTGTCTAGATCGCCTGTACTGGTACCACTTCCTGCACACGTTCGGTTGATGCGTGTATCGTGCATGTTGATTGGGTTTCAGCTTTCACTTGCGTTCTTCGTGCCTGTCTGCGTCTGGCCTCTGAACCTGGGAGAAGAAGTCCACGTGACGAACAGAAGCCGTTGAGCCAAGCTCGTCCCCCCCGAAGCGCGCCGGTGCTGGTTCAAGGCTTCTCAAGTCACATGGCGATGGCCCCAGGGAGCTTTTAGAAAGTTTGACTGGCGATGGCCTCAGAGCAAAAGGCCTCTACCACGAGCTCATGAACGTCCAGTCCTTGCCTTTCCTTGCGGAGTCGGCCCACTGGCGACAAGGCACCTTGCCGCTCTTCGAATCCGCGGCTTGCAAGAGTATGCCTTTAAGGCCACTACACGGTGGAAGCCTTGCTTTGGGAAGAAGCGCGCCCTGACCCTGGAAGCCGACACTGTGTTTGCAGGGTTTTAGGCAAAGCATCTCCGTGTTCGTCGCATCTAGCTTTCCGAAGCAGTTGCTCGGACCGAGGCACACAGAGGCAGGTTGCAAATGCGCAGTAGCCTCAGCAGAAGTAGCTCTGCTGCTCACATCCTCTGTCCTCCTTCCTGCGAGGCCAAGTGCTGGCGGCAGTGAACAGCTCCGGACCTTCACTCGTGATGCCGACGACAATCCGGAAGTGCGTCAGAGCCCCCGGAAGTCCGGTTGAGCCATCCGCGATTCTTACCCCCTGATTTCAGTGGCATTGCAAATACCGTATCTGTTCTTCTCCACCAACCCTACCGTGCGCCGGGCCCAGGCGAGTTCCCGGAGATCATCTCAATTTCCAGGCCAATTGCTTGAGACCCTGCTCATTCATTTCGGGCCTGAACAACAAGTCAACGAAAGCGTGGCGGCACTGCCTGGCATGCAGGACGGCCACAGAGAACGAGATCACCGAAGTGCCCAGGGCTTACGAGAGCAGCCCCTCACGAGTAAGGCCTCATATCATTGATGATGCCAGCATCTCGACATCAGTTCAGGGTTCAGAAACGACTGCCTGGAGACGAGACGTGCCCTAGCTGCATGCAGGTCTCTACAACCAGCTTGGGCAGACAGGAAAAGACAGGCATTTTGCACGCATTGTCCCGTCGCCAGAACTCTGGTGAATGGCTTTCCGGTGACCGGACCTGCTGGGCAGCTTTGTGGCCTCGTCACGCGAGAGGCATTGCGCTAGACATCTCTCAAGACGTGTTGGTGCCATGTCTACGAGTCTACGACTCTGCGCCGCATGGGTGCGGCGGATTGTGCTCAGGCGCTGATGGGCCTGCTTGCGCAGAACCGCCACAGCGTCTGGTTCCCGTTCCGTTTGAGCGGGGTGGGTGATCCGACGGACGGCCTTCGGCTCCCCTTTTTTGGTCAAGGCTTCGACAGAGAGCTCACAACGACCACGGTCAGGCGCAACACATCTTCTTGTGTGTCCTCTGGGCTCACAGAAAGCCTGTGATGTCGATCTCCGTTTGCCTTGGAAGGCCCCCGCTCTCAATGACGTCACATGCATCGGTGCAGCGTGAATCGGACGGTTCCTGTGATGTACGTCTTCACGGAACTGCTTTGAATACCGCCACTCCACACTAAGCCCCCCTGGCTCTCTGTCACGAAGCTACTGTATGTTTGATGCAAGTGCGGAGGCAGCAGCATCCGGGACTCTGCACTGCCCTTGACGCTGCCTCCGGCTCCGGCTAACACGGTCTTAGGCCGGAGGGATTTCAAGCACTTGCAGTTCGACGGTGTTCCACCAGTGCGCGGTGTTAGTTTCAAGTGCTGCTTTGAGTGATCTTGCCTTGAGTTTTGCTGTCTGCAGGCGTCGAGGATGTTATGGACTCCGCACCGTTTGTTCGGAGCCAAGAGACGGTGTTGTGCTGCTATGGCCGACAAGCTTCTCAGCTATCTCCACTCATGCCCAAGCTTGCAGCAACGACAGCGCGATTGAACGCTGAAAAGCGGTATTCATCCATCCAGTCCTCAGCCATTGATGTTTTTGAAGCGGTGAGACCTGAGGTGCTTCAGGCATCCACACCGATCGTTCACGCTCATATGCTGCCGGGAACTGATCTTTGTTCAGATTCTCACGTTCTTAAGGACAGATTGAGGCGGCACCAGGGCTGGTACACGACCGCCTGTACGCGCACGAGTGCAACATGTAAGGCACGACCAAAAACTCGTTGGAAATAGTTTGCCAGCGCAATGGGTGCTCCAAGCCGAGCGGCAGAGCAGATCAGAGAGTTGCTCCTGTGCTCCCATTGAGAGACATGTCCCGGAAAGGTTTGCGCGATGTGGCCTCCGTCATGTCGTGGTCGTCGACAGCGGACCGCCCGTGATGGTCTTGACCAACAACTGGGTGTGCATGGCTGTTGCCTTGTCGGGGATCAGAGCAATGGCGAATCATGAAGCATTCTGTGCTCTCTGAGCTTTGCCGGGGCTGCCGCAGGAAGTTTTGTGGTCTTGTAAAGAATCAGGAGTTTTGCGCAGATCAGTTCAAAAGGTACAAACAATCATATAGCCCCTGGAAGGACACAGACCAATTGGTGCTCGACCCCTGGGCATTGTGTGCATGGTACAGGTTGAACAACCGTTCTTCTTCATTATCTTTCCATTTCCTTTGGCTTTGGGAAGGGTTTGCCGCCATGGAGGATGCATTTCTCTTCTCAGGTCCTGACCCGCAAGAGCCTGATGCCCTGGCGGACACCTTGGTCCGAGACCGAGGAAGCTTTCAAAGACACCCACGCGGTCACCGGCAAGATGCCATGCAATGCGGTGCCCAAAAGGTTGGACGAGTCGAACTTGCACCACGACACCTTTCTCGAGCAAAGAGCTGCGCACTCGTCGTGGTCCAAGTTCTTCTCGAGCTCAATTCCTCAATCCTACCTCTTCCAGCCAGGGGCTGCCTGTTTGCAGGGTCACCGGAAGTTGATTTGCTTTCAAGGCCGACAGCTTCCGCCATAGCCTCGCGCAACAATTCGTGTGAGCCCCAGCGACAAGTTTTTCCACGCTCCCCATGGCCAGCCCTAGAGCATTGGGCACCAGCACAAGCATCATACCAACCATTCAAAGGGTATCCGGTGATCCTGGTAATATACGCAGACTTCGTCAACAAGTTGAATCTGCTTCCAGGCCGCCCAACACCCCGCCGCTGAGTCGGCAAGGTACCTGCACTCCGCGACAACTCACATGTTTGCATGGCTTCGGAGCTGCGTCTGATGCGGGACATTACAGATATGAGTTGTGTACATGCAGGACACACCACCACAGAAGATCCATGAGGTGTCAAGGTCGATCTCAGACAAATGCTCAGATGGCAGGAAACAGAAACCCAAACTTCCGAGAATCTGATTGGAAGGTAACATAGATATCTACCCGGGCCAAGATGAAGACTATGAAGTCTATGGTATGCCAAGAGTTTTTTTTCAAACGTGAACCAGAATCACAGCGGAACCGGACAAGTAATCCTGCCCGAAGTCCCCGAAGGCAGACCCGAATCGGGACAAGCATGCTGATTGCGAAAGGAGAAAGTGCCAGATGTACACGAGCAGTCCACGAAAAGCTACAATGAGAGTGCAATTGCTGTTGTTGGCTGGCCTCTGCAACGGAAAACACGTGATATGCGTGGGCAACCTCTGGACCTCTTCGTGAAGACGCCTTGTTTCGCGAGATCCCGCAATCTGAGCTGGATAAGTTTCAGAGCGTCCTCGCCTTGTGAGATCAGCTGTTTCAGAAACCGGACTGCCACTTTCACTCTACGTTACGTTCAGTTTATTCACTGGTACGAACACTGGGGTCTGTCATGGCGGTTCACTGTGTGCGTCTTTGCACATTTCTTGCAACGCGCCTTTGCGCGTGGGCCAGGCTCCTGGCGCCTGTCCGGTGGACTCGCTGGCAGCAACCCAACAAGGAGAGACCAGATTACAATGTAGGCATTCCGGCAGAGAGGGCTTGGGCCTATGGCTGTGCCTTGCAGGCTGGAACACCACCAACGGATCCGGGATGAGAGTGCTCTCAGTAGCCCTGCTGCAGACGGGAGATGCATAGGTCGTACAGTCAATCCACTTCGAAAGCTCAATAGGAGACGGCAGTTTGTTTCCCCTTGTGTAGTAAGCTCCGCTGGTGAGTGCCCGCGCACTCCGACGCATCTCAAAATGGCGTGTCTGCAAGCAAGGCCCGTTGGTGGAATCGCTGCGCCTCACCAGCCTGGCTGCTTCGCATGCACCATCAGCTACGAATGTGTTTGGGTGCATGCTGGATACATGCCTCAAAAAGGATGCTACACCAACGACCGGAGCTGAACCCGGCGAGGGCGAGGAGGGTACCCACGAGCGCCTTGGTGAACCTGACATACTAGATGAAGCTTTGAGGGGAGACCTCCAAGTATGGCTGGGGCTGAAAGCGCTTGTTGCCTGGGATCCTGCATTCGCATCATTTGCTTGAGGTAGAGAGGTGTGCAGAACAGCCGAGGTTCACGATAGAGGGAGCCTGAACCTCTCCAGACGTGCGCACACAAAGCTGCGAAACCGCTGCAATTGAGATTTACAACTAGCTGACTAGATCAAGCCTGGTGCTCGTCGGCATGGCGCTGAGAGAGCGTAATCCAGTTCCTTCCAAAACTACGTCTTGGAGCAAGTCACTCAGCCCTGTGCAGCCGCTAAGTCAGTGGCATGTAGCACCAACGGCTAACAAGTAGCTTATGGTTCTGTACATAACCGCAGGCGAGGTTCATTCAAGGCGATGTGCTCGATCAGATCGGATGATCAGAAGAACTTAGTTGTGTTTGTCTCTGAGCGGACGACCTGAACCTGGCAGCGTGCGACAGCTTCTTTTGCTCGCTCGTGGCTGGCCTGCTTTTGGGATAAATGTCCAAGCACTTCTTCAATACTGCCCGCATTGCCCCCGTCTTCAGCCCTACTTCGGCAGGGCTGAATCGTTAATTTCACGGAGGTGCCGAGCGCTTGGCTCGCGCGGAGAGAAAAGGCGGATCCGTGCAGCGCCTGAGTCAACAGGTGCCGAGAAGCCCAAGCTGAAAGCAAGGCTTCAAACGCTACCAGGTCTCCTGCTCACAGGGAATTGGCTTTGCAAAGCAACGCCGCAACGAAGTGATACCTCCAGCAGCACACCAGCTCAGCACAGCCCTGACCTTCGCAACAAGAATCTCGGAGCCGAAGACTCGTGATTTCTTCACCCTGGCCCGATTCTCCTGAAAGGACGGGTCCTCTTCAGACTTCAGCCAGAGCAGAGAGAGACCCCTGCACCCCAGCCAAATTAACTAGATGCCATAGCGCGAAGGGCGGGCATCCTGCTGTGCCAAATGGAGCCGCTTCGCCCAGCTAACCTGCCCCCGCTGTCTGTGGGGACCACTGCAGGCGAGTCCCAGTCGCCTTCGAACTTGTGGAAGGGAGCCTCTCTTCAGACAGGTTCGGCGCGGCCGGGCGAGGAAGCCGGAAGGCTACGAGAGCTGATTCTGTGCAAGCCTTTTCCCTCGTTGCTCGTTCCGGAAATTGCCTTCACGAGGTCGAAGAACAGAAGGGTCCTCACTGCACCTGTCAAACGCACAGAGATTAAGCCGTGGGAGAAGAACACAGAACTCGGGCGTTGTTTTTTCAGGGCTTTCCCCGTAAGCCTCCTCCTGAGCTCTAAAAAAAGACTCGCCGCACCCGCAGCTGTAGAGAGAATTTTTGGAGATCTCAAAAACCACTTTGCATGAAGATTTGTGTCCGACGGCGGCCCTGCGCAGCGGGTGAGACGGAGTCACATAACTGGACTTTGGAGGATTTGAAGTCCAAGGCCGCGGCAGACACTGTTTTTGGACCTGACACAAGCCAGCAAGAGGTGCTTCAGTCCATCCTGGAGCCTCAATTGGACCGGTTTCTGCACGAGCCTGGTTTCAGCGCAGTGTTTCTGGCATATGGTCAGACTGGTAGCGGTAAGACTCATACGATTTTTGGCCCGCCTGGTGTGCTCACAGAGCATGACTATAATCAAAGCGGAGGCTCTCCTCAGACCTGGGGTTTCTTCCCCTATGCGGCGGTGGCAACGCTCGGAGCCCTGGAGCGTCAGGGGCTCCTGAAAAGAGCGCAGCTGAAGGTCTCGGCCGTGGAGGTGTACTTGGAGCGAATGTTCGATCTCCTCAACGAGCGGCACCACGTGGCGGTTCCTGGGGCATCTGTGCGTGCCGCCTCTAATCGGCCAGATAATGAATCCACGAAGTACGACGCCAATGGAAAGTGGCTACCTCCTGGGAAGTGGCTCGGCGAAAAGACACTGCCTGGAATCTCAGCGACAGCCAAAGAGACGGTGATTGACTCTGCGATAGACGTCGTCCACGTTGCGCGGCTTGTGGAAGCCACCAGATCGGCTCAGTCGCACGCCCTCAACCATCGATCCAGCCGGTCTCATTGTATGATCACCTTGACCCTACGGTTGATCGATTTGACGGGAAATCTCTCCGAGGGTCGCCTGGTCTTCGTGGATCTGGCTGGCTCAGAGCGGGTAGGCAAGAGCGGCGTGAACGCAGACAGCACCGGTGGTGCAAAAGCTTTCAACTTACCCGGGAGGGTAACGGTGGACATCCCTGGAACTCGTTTCGATGAGGCACGGTCGGTGAACTGCTCTTTGAGTGCCCTTGGCAGAGTCATCGCGGCCCTCGCCCGGCGGGACAAGTACGTCTCTTTCCGGGACTCTGCTTTGACCCAGTTGCTGAAAGATCCCCTCACTGGCTGTGCTGCACATGTCACCGTGATCTTGGCGCTGCGTGCCGAGCAGTCCAACGACTCAGAGACCCAATCCACCATGCGCTTCGGCACTGTGTGCAAAGATGCCGCGGGAAGTAGCAACATGCGAGCGAAATCGGTTCCATCGAAGGGCCGCACCAACAAGGCTGGAGCTGCTGCCGGGGCCCTCGCAGAGTTACGTAAGCAGCTCATGGCAACTACCGAGGAGGTCGAGCGAATGACAGCGGAAGGCCAAGATGAGCACGTGAACCCCCAAGGCTTCGCAGCTCCGACCATCCAGGGCTTCCTCGACAACAAAGCCAAGTTCGAAGACGCAAAGCGCCTGGCTGCTCAGCGAGGAAAAATCCGAGATTTTGCTTTCCTCTTTTTTTTCGAGAAGAGGCGGAGCCGATCACACTGCAGCAGCCGGAAGCTGCGTCTCCGTGCAAGGTTGCTGTTGAGAAGAGAAGTCATTTCCTCGTTGGGTAGCCCTCCCTCTGCGAAGTCTGAGTAACCAAAACAGCCGAAGGCAGAAGTAGGCTGGGTCGGAACAGGACACACGGACAATGCGAGACAGCAGCTGAGGACCAACAGCATGGTGTATTTTTCGATCAGCCTGAAGCTTTTTCTGCTATTGGAATTTCGTGCTTTCCGTTCCGTTCCTAGGTCACCCGCTTGAAAGAGCAGATGGCCGAGCGGCGCAGCGAGCTGCGGCTCGCCGGGGGTAGTGAGGAAGGCGACAAGCGACTCCAGGAGGGGCAGCACCAAAGCGCACCGCAGCACCAAGCTCCTAGCTGCTCCTAGCTACGACGCTAGGAAACTTAGGCAAGCTTTGTGGTAGTTGCTTTCACGTCTCAATGCTTTTGGAAACTGTGGTGTCCCAGTCCTGTTACAGCATCGTGAGGCTCCTCTCTCTCCGTGATCTCTTTGCCGCTTCGAGTTCATTGCAAATGTTATTGTTGCTGTCGTCGTTTGTGGTCGCAGTCCTCTTGCTGTCGTGGTTGTTGTCATGGGTGCCGTCGCCATCGCCATTATTGATGCAGTTGTTGGTGTTGTGTTTAGCTTCGTTTCTGACGTTGTTGTCGTGATTTCGTTTGGTCCGTCTTCTGCTGAATGTTGGTGGTGGCATCCGCTCCTTGCGGTGTGCTCTTGCAACTAGGTTGTTCTGGTCTTAGGAAGCAGTTCTGAGACTGGCAGGAGCTGGGCACGTCTCTGACCACTGCCCAGCAGGCGACATTCGTAGCGTCCGGCATCTTCTACCGTCAGGTGGGCTGTGCATCGGGTTTGCTTCATCTATGGTATGCATTGATTTTCTTGCAACTGGAGGCATTTGAATAGTTTGCACAACCCGCATCACCGCGCACCCTTCCTGTAAATATGCTGAGAAAGCGTGTGGGCTCACGTTCAAGATCTGCGAGCAGACCCTCCAGGTGACCACGGGCATCTGGACAGGGCGCACGCCGGCGCTGCAACAGAAGATGACGCTTCGTGATCAGCTCACAAAAGAGATAGCCTTCTTGGAGTCGGCAGGGACTGCCTGACACGGGAGGTGCTTCGATCTTTCAGTGTTTGCCTTTCGAGGGAGGCCATTTTTGTGTGGCATCGGCTTGCCAGAGAGCACCATGTCCAGGAGAAGTGGCTTGTCGAAAGCAGCGGACACTTCCTTTGCGAACCCGGCTTCAGCTCTTGCCCAGCTGGGCTCGGCCAGGGTTTTGAAGTGCGTAGACGTAGATAGTACAGCACGGCTGGTGATGTGGGAAGCGGAAGGGCGGTTGTGTGTCAGGATCGGCCTTCAGAAGCGATGAATTTTCGCATCACAACGCCCCTGAAACAGTTTGCTCAGCCGGAGCTTTGCGCTTGGCAAGTTCCAGATTGTGCTCTCCCAAAGGGAGCGGAAGCATCCAAGGCTGAGGCTTCCGGCGTGCAGGGAGGTACAGAGACTGCACTCGGAAAAGAATTTGGGCGACTGAGGGATTCCAAGCATAGGAAAAAAGAGCCGCCGCACTGAAAGCATCTCTTTTGGACTCCCCGGAGGCGGCCGAGCAAGCCGGCAGCTGACCCGGAGGCCGTGCTCGGTGAGAGAAAGTCGGTCCTAAGAACTCCAAAAGAGAGAAAGAGAGCTCAAAAAACAGCTGTTTTCTCGGAGAGGGCTGGGACTTGAGCGGCCGCTTTTTGTGACGGCAGGCGGAGGCGAGCACGGCCTCTCCGCCGGGGTGGGGGCCCCCGAGAAGATATGGGGGCGGGTCTCTGCGGGCTCCGGTGAGGAATGGTTTCTGCGCATTCCTTTTGGGTTCGAAAGCCTTCCGCCACGGGCTCCAGTCTCTGTAGCGAACCAGCGAACCGTTTCATGTAGGCTAGGCTGCCGAGCACCCCAATGGCACCAGCCTCTCGACTTGCTCTTGCACATGTTGTGCGGCTTTTGATTCTGCGCTCCGCTCACTGCCTCATGCGGCCGGAGACCGAAGCCTTGCTCCAGACCCAGGACGGACGAATACGGAATGTGGACACACCCTGCACGTCCTATGGTCCAGGTTTGCATTTGGTTCAAATGCCCGAGCTTCAGCGCCAGTTCCTGCTATCCGTGCCTGAAGACTTTGCACCAGGCAGTGTCCCTTTGGTCCTAGCATTTCACGGCTTCTCAGACTCGCCGTGGTATACAAACGCTATGATGGGCCTCTCCAAGAAGCTGACGAGATATGGTTGGTTAGGCATCTTGCCTTTCGGTATGAATACAGGTCGCAGCAATGGCATGAGCGGCGTGGGAGCGTGTTGTCCTCCCGAGTGTCAAGGCGAGTGCTGCATGCAAGGCAAACACCTTAATCAAAAGGATGACTCTGCCTGCGGCTGGCGGGACATGCAGCAAGACTTAGGTTTTGTGCAGGCTCTCTTAGCCTGGGCGCAACTGAATACCTGCGCAGACATGAACAAGGTTTTTGCCACTGGCTTCAGCAATGGAGGGCAGTTAACCAACTACCTCGCTTGCCATGCCTCGGATCTGTTCAGGGCTTTCGCACCTATCTCAGGGGACCTGGTCGACTTCACGTGCGACGCAAAGCGCCCCATCTCCTACATCAGTCCCTCAGCAGGGCAGAAGCATCTTCCTTGGGATGTAGCTTTCGACTGTGAAGGTAAAAGTTGTTTGCTCTGTGTCCCTGTGTGACTGATGAGAGGCATGTGCGGCTCTTCGGATGATGAGGCCTTCTGCCAGCCGACCTTCGTAGGCACGGCAGCCAGCTGGAGCTCTCGCAGCAAATGCGAGGGTGCGGGTATAGAGGGTGCAAAGATATTCAACTTCTCTGCCACGACCTCTTGCTTGATGTGGGAGTCCTGCGAAGAGCAGAACTTCGTCGAGGTTTGCTCCACACAGGGCCTCGGCCACGATGCCAGCGGGCATTTAAGGCCCGATGGCACCAGCATCCTCCGCCCCGAAAGCGATCTCGACATCGTTGGCTACACTTTGCAGAAGTTCTCCATGCTCGTGGATGGTAGCATCCTTTTCTGGGGTCACCCGACAGCCGAGGAGTTGGCCTACAAAGAGTCCTCCTGGCCGCCCCCGACGCATGACGATCACATCGACATCCGCAATGGCTCCCTGAACACCGCTTAATGCTGTCCAGTGCCTCCCCCCCCCGAGCGATCTGGGCAGAATGAGACGAATGCAAAAAAGAAGAGAGACAGTTTTCACATTTTGGCAGTGGCCCAGCTTCAGGATACAGTATTCAACTTCAACGACACAGGTAGGCGAGAAAGAGAATCGGCGGAGAGGCGGCTCCTTCCCAACTGCTCGCTGCAAGCCGAGGCCAAGCGAGTTGAAGGTACCGGATGGTCCAACTGGTCCAGGCCAGGCCACGGCATCCTTCTCTGCCTTCTCGCCTCTGTCCTCATCACAGAAGCACTGGCGAACAGCAAGAAGTCTCGGGAGTAGCAAGAACTCACACAAGGAGAGCAGGAACCCTGAAGTCGAGATCGGATTTGAGCATCCAAATCACCCCTCAAGACCCCTCAAGACATTCGAGGCGACAGCGCGCCATCTCCGCCGCACCCCGAGCCTCAGTCGAAAGGGAACCAAGCCTCATCCTGCCCAAGGTTCGAGTGCACGTTTGGCACACATGGTGCGAGGCGCTCAGAGCGTGACAGTGCCCTTTCAAGACTTGTGACTAGGGCCTAGGGCTGGAACTGGTTAGACATACTTTGTCTTGAAGCACGATTCCTGCAGATCCTTCGGGTCGGCTCTGGATCCTTGCGTGTGAGGTCACCCAGCTCAGTCCTTGTCCGGGCAAGAAGTCCCTTGCCGACATGGAGGTGCTTGCCTTTTCTTGGTCATGCACAGTCAACGTGGTTGTTCCGCCGGATTTCCTTGCTTTACTTGGTGGCGTTGCACAGGAGACGCTGCGTCTCTGTCTCAGTTGTTTCACAATGTAGCATGTCCAGATCCTGCTGAAGCTCGAAGCTGCAGTGGCCCATTCCCTGACACGATTTGCTTCACCAGGTCCTGTCTACCGCCCTCAAAGTTGCGCAAAGTTTGTGACCTCTTCCAATTCCGCTCTGACACCGTTCTTCCATCGCGAAGCCCCAGCACAAGCTTGTTCTCAGCCCACACATGCGCGTTCAGGAACTGGCCATTTCACCGTGATCAAAGGTCCATCCAGCAGGGGACCCAGTGCACCAGTCAGGCTACCACTCTGGAGGGTCACAAGCAGTACTTTGATTGTTGCATCAGGAATCTCTGATCTTATACAAAGCAGAGACTTGCGAAATTCTTTGAAATATGGAAGCATAATTATATGGGTTTTCGTTGGAGAGTCGCATGGACCCTCGCTTCCTGAGTGCTCCTTTCGCTTTCGAGGTGGCCGGCGATGGATCCGTGGAGAATCCATCGGTCGCGGCTCTTTAGGCTGGGCACTACACTAGAACTTGAAGGGATTGATGCAAGAGCTTGTTCTGGTTCCAGGTCATTATAACATTAACCCCAAGGACCCAAAAGTGAGAATTCCGAAAGAGTCGCCAGCAATTCCTTCGGGCGGATCCCCACTACGTCAGGCACCGTGTACCAAGCGATGGACCAGCAAACCGGCGAGCTCCTCGCGGTAAAGGAGGCACAGGAAGAAAAGAGAACGTGCAACTTCATGTAGGTGTCATTATCCATGTTCTCCCTCGCTCTGTCCGGATTTCATACCGAGAGAAGCGACGATGTCGCGCATTGCAACCTGCAGGTGGTCATCAACGCTTCCGATTCTGCTGACATGAAATTCAAGGACCAGCTCGAGAACGAGATCCAAATCGTCAAGGACCAGCCTGCTTGTCATGTCGCGTTCGGCAAGACCCTCCGCCTTGGTCAAGGGGCTAGGCCAGTGTCTTGCGGCTGCCGGAACCCATGCCTCAGAGGACTTGCGAGCAGATTCCCTGTTCGATATTGGAAGATGGAAAACAGGCTGTCTCACAGCACCAGAAGACTTTGGACAGCAGAGGAGGTTGCTCTTTGCACCCAGAAACGGTCGGGAAGATAATCGTTTACCCCCCTCCACCTTGGCCACAACAGCTGAAACCATGCATTCGTGACCTTCCCGCTGCGGACTGGCAAAGAGGAGCCACGGTCTTATAACCTTTGCCTTTTCTAGAGCCGAATGGAACTCTGCGGCACCGTCTTCGTAAAGTGACGGGATCAGAACGCGCCGTGCTCCATACTATTCTAGTGGCAGACTAGCGCTTGTGTGTCTCTTTGACAAGAATGGAGGCTTCACAAAGGCCTTTCTTGGTTGCCCTGCGCAGAAGCAGACTCTCATCTCTCGGCTGCAGGAGCTGAAACATCCCCGAATAGTCGCTTACCTCGGCCATGATTATATGGCCTGGCGCCCGCATAGTACCGGCAAAAGCCATCTGTGAAAGCATGCCTCGATACAGCTCTTCAGCAGCACCTTGCGTGGATTCCCGTGCTTAAATGCCCGTGAGTGTCGAGTGCCTAGGGTGACTCCCTGTTCATCTACTTGGAGTTCATGGCAGGCCAGGGTGGCGGTTCGTCGAATTTCTACAGCAATGCATTCCACAAACTCACGTTATCCAGTCCGAAGCAAGTGTTCGCTATTAGGACCGTTCACGAAAGCCAGCGTACCGAGGCTTTCGTTTCTATCTGCGTAAGCACTGGGCCGGGACCGCCGGAGCCCGCCTCGCCAGCTTTGTTTCCCCTCCGTTGCTGATTGCCCGCCTCGTCAGCTTTGTTTGCTTTCCGTTGCTGCTGTGGCTGGATGTGATTATGCTCTATCGCTTGCAGTCCCTCCAGCCTAGGCTGGCGTTCGTTCCCCTGACCCCGCACCTCAAGTTTGGTTCGTCGCATTTGGGCACCGGGCTGGGCAGGTGGCTCCATGGCGCAAGCTCTGCGGCAGCTCTCGACTCAGATTTCACTGCAGCTGAGAACCCTGCCTCTGTCGCTGCAAGCATCCAGAGCTTCAAATCATTGAGGTTCGGCTGCTTTGAAGAATCCCTGCTGCTGGCCCGAGAACTCAGAGGGCGTAGAGTTTTCATCAGATCCTCAAGACATCTGCAGTGCGATGGTACCTGTCCTTGATGAGCACCTCAATGCTCCCAGGCTTACACGAGGGAGATGTTGGAAGGGCCAGAAACTCAGAGCCATCCGGCTCTGCCCCGGATTGGAGAGGTGGCTGCTGCTACACAGCTGCATGAACACCGGTAGTGCAGTCAACAGCTGGACTCCTTGTGACAAACTTACTTGATGCTGCGGGGTCGATGTTTGAGAACCAGATGTCCACAGTGGGTTTGCATTTCCGCTTTGCCATGGTCTTTCTTCTTCAGGTTGGAGTATCTGCACACCAGGGAGACTCCCGTCGTGCACCGGGACATCAAAGGCCAGCCCCAAGGAGACTTTCCTCATGGCTGCTCTTGTTGTTACGGGATAGGAGCTTCAAAGTAGCTTTGTGGTAAGGTCCCCTTCGAACTTCAATCTGTGAACTGCGCAGCATCGCGGTCCACGCCATCATCAAAGCTCAACAAAATGCGGAGGGACGCGCACGGCTTGCTCTCGTGAGCTCGCGGAGAAGCATGGGCCCGTGGGCAGTTCTGCGTTCGTAAGTGAGAGGCCCGCAGGAAAGCAGGCGAAAGGGCGTCTGCAGAGACAGACTACCTATGCTTCCGTCTATCGGTTTTTTTCACCTCCTCTCCATCCACCCCTGTCCGTGTATCTGCATGTGCCTATGCAGCCAGGTGGGTCGGCAGGTAATTAGTCGTTAATGTTAGTGTCAAGACAGAGTACTGGTAGCATATAAAGCAACATACTGTAAGCGGCATTAAGTCGACTTGCTTTTCTGTGGTTACGTGGTTGCACACATACATTATGATATACCTCTGTATTCAGGATGTAGGTCTGACTTTAGATACATGCCTGTGTAGCTAGAGGTGAGGTGTTTTTTGTAGATGTGTGGATGGGTTTGTGCATGTAAGTCTGCACACACATCAGCACCTAGGTCCGCACAATGCGCACATACTGATGCTACACATGCACAGACCCATCCGTTACGATACTCATGCCGTATAATTTGTGCCTACATGCGTTGAGTGTGCCATATGAATGACAACCTGCACAAAGACTACTCTCTACGTTTGCTTGCCTAGCATATGATCCATGATAGAAGTACCTGAACCGGTTGGCCCACAAATAGACTGAGAAAGCTCCCTGTCGGCTAGTCTGCTATTGCTTTAGTTGTCTGCCGCATAGGATCGACACAGGGCTCGTGATCCTGCAGGATTTACAGCAGTTGCGCGAAGAGCGTCCATCCAAAGACCGCTTACGGCCCTTAGCCGTGCCTCAGGCGCCAACGTTCTCGTCGATTTGGACTGCCACGCCAAGCTGAGCGATTTCGGTTGCTCGAAGCGGGACAACGACACGATGCCTCTCGGACTCCGAGACAGACGAAAAACAGACTCGATGCAGCAGTGTTAAAGCTAAGGTCGCACACCATGCGGGGTTCCATTCCCTGGATGGCACCCGAGGCTCGCAGATCTACTCGAGGGTCGGTGCAATCTTCAACAGCACCAGCCCACGATCGGACTTTGCAATTCTCTTCCACGATGACACATCTGAGAAAGTCTACGAGGATCTCCTAGTCTGAGCGTCTCAAACATGAAGATACCACAGATTGTAACTGAGTTAACGATTCAAGACTGAGAGTTCCATGTGTTGGTTGCAATGCACCGGTGTTGCAGGTCATAAAGAACACGGGCTATGGACGGAAGGCTGACATTTGGAGCTTCGGGTGCGCCTCAAGCCAAGTCTTGCTTTCCTGCTCATGCGCCGATATCGTACACCTTGCCCACCGGAGGAGCATTAGGCGATTCGGGCACTGAAATTGGTGAGAGCTTATATGCAGTATCGCGTGTCAAACCCTTCGGCTGACGACTGTTGGTTCGCGAAGCATGGGCTGATATGGACAGACCTGACCACTGAACGACGCGTAAGGTTGTGATTGAGATGGCCACGGCCAAGACTCCCTGGGGCTCTTTCGACAATCCCATGGCTTCGAACTCATTCACCGGACTTGCTCTCGTCTGTGCAGCTTTTTAGCCGATGACGCTTTGAGAAACAGACAAGCTGTCACTTTGCATCCTGCCCATCCTTCGTCTCCTCGTGTCGCGGTACGGGTCTTCGCAGAAGAGACATCAGGATGGGAGGATATTTCAAGGGAAGAGTGAACCTTGACAATGAGGCCGCCATGTGCAAGATCGCGATGTCGGATTCCACGTTTGCTTCTCAGATTGTCCTTGTGCTAGCAAAAGGGAGGTCTTGATCTTGCGAGGCCACCCATCCCAGAAGGAGTGTCGCCTGCATGTGGGCAGCTCAAACGGCTTCAGCTTTCTGACGGAGGTTCACTGCTGTCCGCTGTCCGTTTCCGAGGCCAGGACTTCATCCGTTTGTGCACACGCAGAGATCCAGCCGACAGGCCAGGTGGTTTTGTACGGATTGCTTTCGCTTTCGCGCTGTTGCTCCCTTGTGCGTGGAACTCCAGGCCAGATGCCACCCGGCTGCTGGCGCACGACATCTTGAAAAACGTCATTGTCGAAGACGACTGATGGGCCAAAGGTTGTCTGTCTTCGTGTTCGGACTGTGTCCTGTTGTTGCTAAGGCTCCCATGTTACGTCAGTTTCGCGCTAACAGGGCATCGTTTGTGGTCTCACAGCGTGGACCATCCTGCAGAGTCAGGACTAAGACCGGCCACGGAAGCATCCAAAATCAGCTCAAAGATCTCTTGCAACTAAAGCCGCCAGAAGGGTTTCCATCTGATCTGGACAAAACTAAATGCATGTGCACCTGCGACGGCGATCGTTCGTGCACGTTGTTGTTCGGTCATATGATGTTTTACATCGATTCGATTCGAGATACCGCCAACGGTATACACACTTACAACTGCAGCTTATGCGTAGATACGACGAGCTTGAAACTGCACGACTCCGTGGTAAGCTCGCAGTTACAGTACATGATGTGAGCAGGTACAACTGCTGACCATGCACGATGCCATCATCCAAAATGCCGTCAAGAAAGCAAGCGCGGTGTAATTTACTCTGCATTACTGCCTGAAGCCAGTCTTTGACGACCGTTACCAGCATCAAGACTTTCGCGAAGTCTCGTATGTAGAAGAGCTCTCACACTTCAAGTACAAAAACGAGATTGTTGTTGCTCATAATTTACTCAGCAGCTGAGAGCGCCATTCCACTGCGCAAACAAAGGATGCTGACTTTGTAAGCTTGAAGGGACATGTTTTCCATTAGGATACGGGCTTTCCAATTTTTCATTCAACGAGCACAGGAAGCAGTTCTATCACGTCTTCAGGCAGAAAAATGTGCCGGCCAGACGAGTTGGAGATTTGTTATTCACAGTTCACACGCGTGAATACAGACATAAGTCGCCAGAGACGGCAGCGAGTCTAGAACTCTTGTGCTGTGGCGCCTCGCACACTTAGTCTTGTTCACGTGTGCGGTCGAAAAGCACACACAAGTCTAGATGAACTGTATTAACCATGATGCCTTGAAGGGCTTGTGGGGCTGCAAGTGCTTTGTCAAGCTAGGTGTCAGCAGCTTCGGCGCAGAAGAAGACAATATTACCGATTACAAGTGTTTCCAGGTTCCATCACGCACCATGAAAGCAATGGGAGACAATGCCACTGTGAAACTGTCATATTCATTCCACCGCTTTCTGGTACTTCTAGGCGCGTTCTGGCCGCTGCTCGTCTTCGTCAATGCCGGTGTCATGGCCACATTGCCACCGTTCTTGCTATGACAAGTTGTCTGTGTTAGATTACTGTGGTCACTATGTTGAGGCCGAAGGCTCTGCTGTCACGGCTGCACTGCTGCGGTTGTGCTACCACCATGACTTGGCCGACTACTGCACGAGCTGGAAATGGGGACAAGCCGAACGGAAAGCTTGCGTGAACTTGTAGCTAAGTAGGCCAGGACTATGAGCACAGGAAGGGTACGCTCTGGACCATTCTCGTTTCGACGTTGCGGTTCGTAGGTTCACATCCGCGGAACGATCTTTCAACCCATGCCGATCGGCGCAAAGACCAAAACCACTTAAACTAATTTGCTTCAATTTCAGGTATAGCGATTCATTGACATGGCTATGCACTATGCAGATGATATGTGAGTTTGCCTCAAGACTAAGAACAGGAGGAGTGCATCCTTGCCGTGTCCGAGCGCCAACCAACCTCATGCCATATGCCATACCGCAGGGGCAGGCACTAACGCCCACAATCCAGGCACTTGTGGAGTCCTGGCCGCGCAGCTGCGCTGCGCGCAGCTCTCGCTCACTTTTCTGCTGTAGCAATCCCCAGCGGAACTCGATGATCTGCCTCTGGCACCTTGTGGCTGGAATCATAGTATCACTCACCAGGAAGAGGGCACGCCAAGGCATTTTCATCACTGTGCCAAACACTCAACCCAGAGCGTGAACATTCGATGTTTCACCAGCAAGGCTTCAAACTGCAAATCTGGACTTCCTCTAGATCTGTGCCATGGGATGCTCACGGCCGTTGTTACAGGTGCCGGGTGCATCGGTGCGTTGTTGCCTTTTCGGTTCCGGGTCGTTTGTGAAGGGCTTCGACAGATTCCGACATGGCGGACCTGGAGGCCAGGGTGTCTCTGTGGCTTCGTGCACGTCGCTAGCCGAAGCCCCCCCTTCATGGAGATTCTTGCAATCTTATGTTCGAACCAACGGTCAGACTCCTAGACTCTGGCGAGCATGCCGTGCATTTTCGAGCCTTTCTTCAGAGGACATCGACAACTTAGACGGCTCGCCTAAGGCAGAGTACGTGGCCTGGGCCTCTGGGAACCGGATCCGAGTGGTTTTTGGACCGAGTGGTTGCAATGTGACACCGCGAGGATATGGCTGCCAGACACTCCTGGCAAGACCTGGAACTGAGCTATGTCAAGAGCACCATCCTTAGAGCTTAGCGTGAGGTGGTTTCGTGACTTGCACTTTGAGCAAGAATCGCGAGAATCTCTTTCCCCAGATCCGGCTGCCTCTTCCAATGGGAACTCGGTGAGGCCTGGTTGTGTCGTGCCATGGCCAGAAGACAGACCGATTGTGCCGAGTGCATCTTCACAGCATGGTGCAGATCTGCCTTTGCTGCAGGGTTCCGCTGGTGGACTCGCAGCCACAGGAGGCTGCCTGGAGCATCACACCTCGCGGCTTAGCTGTGCAGCTTGCAACAAGTGCCGCAGCAGGAGGTCATCGACCTCAGCCACACGTGCTACAACCTGATCTTCGTCAGCGGGAGGCATTACTTCCCTTCGGCCATGCACACCCGCTCTGTCCAATCCTTAAACCTCGCTGCCCATTTCACGTGGCGGGACCCACTTCCACAACCCGGAACTAGTGGCCCAGTCTGGCAGCGCATTTGTTGTGAAGCTACGCCTCTACTCCGACCGCTAACCGCGAGCCCTTGATCGGTGATCTTTTTTCGGTGCTTTAAGTTTGGAGATTTTGCGGCAGCAGCTTCCACGCGATCGGAAGTGGCAGAACACATGGTCAGACTCCACCAACATTAGCCTGGACTGTGGATCGACATCACTCCGCAAAGCTGCTCTCGCAAGTCTTGTAATGCATGCTGGTCCTTACTTCGTGCCGCTTGGGGTCATGTCAGCAAGCAGACTGCGGTCAGCCAGGGCGAGTGTGCTTGCTCCCATGCTCGCAGTCGCTGCTGCTCGGCCAAAGATGGTGTACAAGCAGCTTTCGTCAGCGCTGTTGCAGTCTCCGTCGGTCAGGATGTTACATTCCCATCCCTTGCAAACTAAGACTTAGGTTGGGCAATTCGGCATGCTTTGGATCGTGGGCTGGACATCTCCCGAGTGCCCTGGAAGTGCATGGGCAGTCTCGCATTCTGAGAGGCGGCCCTTCCTCCAGTTGGATTGAAGTGGCGAGGGCAAACAAGATGTGCGAGTTCCGCTGCAGGTACTTCTTCGAGAGTGGTCAGTGGGTAGTTCCGATATCAGACTACTGGCCTCACACTGAGCTCAGACATCCCCTGGATGCCTCACAAAGATGCCGTGTCCGCGAGAACGTGTTGGCACGTCGTAGCCTGTGTTTGTCCTACCTCAGGTCTGTGAATGCCATGAAGTGCTTGCGCCGGCCTCGTGATGTGGGCGGGCTGTGGTTGCAGCGTGATATCGCAGCATGGGAAGCAGACACCGAGCCCCATGTGTTCTTGGTACGAAGCTCTTGACAAGTGAGCAGATCATGAGGAATCATGCGGTGAGGTCCATGCTCCTGACCCTCTTCAGAGTCAGTGGGGAGTTTAAGGCCCGGCCAGTCTTTGACAAAATCGCTGTTCAAGAAATGTGTGTGCCAAAGCGCAGAACTTCCCCGATCTGTCATCACATAGGAACTCGTAAAGCTGTGAAGTGTTTGACACACATGCACAAGTGCATACACTTCTGCAGTACAAGTACATGCACAATATATGCACATCTAGCATATGCGCCTCATGGAAATTGCCTCCGACTTATCTGCACAGACATTGCTTGTTATGTGTGGCTCTTTTCGGGCGCAGATGCATGTGCGTGGTTTAGGGTTTGGTGCAGCCTTGCTTTGATTTGAAGTTGTCCAGCCCCAAGTACTCTGCGTGCGGCAGGATGCTGCCAAGCTCTATCGCGTTCTCGCACACCGGCCAGCTGCCCCAAGCTAAGTCACCCAGTCACAATGGCATTGTGCAGCTTCAGTACAGCTGTAGCGCAACATCTCATACCGCATGATCTTGTAAGTTGGTGGTAATCATCCTGCTTGGGCTGCTCCATCCTGCCATGTCCAACTTCCTGCTGCTACAGGTCCAAATGACCATGCAGCAGCAGCGATTCCTGGGCTTTGGTGCATTCATCCTGCAATACCTCGTGGCTGTGGTGCGCAGGGTCTGTCGCAGCGGTGTTATGGCATTTGCGTCGTCTCTTGCTCTGCACCGCCTGTTGCCTTAAAGCTTGGAGTTTGCTCTGACATGTGGCAATTTTGGATGGTCCTTTCCTAGCTCATGGCACAGGTCGTGCTGCTGATGGCAATTCAGCTCATTTTGGCCAGCACGTCTGCACCTGAGAGAGAGCCAAAGACTTTTTTGAGGTTGGGCAGGTCCTGCTTCGGGGGTTAGCACTGCAGAGCATCCGTTCGGATTTACCCTGGGCTCCCAGGGTGAGCCAACCCTGCGACTCTGCATCGCAAGCCGCTCCGAAAAGATGAGAAACCCGACCGTGCAGGACGCCCATTGCCACCATCGGCAAATTGCCCCGAGCCAAGAGCATGGGAACGCTGAGCAGCTCGGGTTTCGAGGGGGTTGCCCTTCGCTTGCGCTGGTCGTTGCGGCGCAATGCTTTGAGGTGGGTTGTTTTCACTACACTGGACTTCGACAATTACCTTTGCAACTTTATCCTCTTCATCTTTGACTGCGAGCATGCTTTCACTTGGCAGGCCAGGGGCCTTGAAGCCGAAGGCAAGTTCCCGCAAAGCTCGGCTGCAGGCCAGGCTCCAGCGCCGGTCGGCGCGACACCTGGGCGGCGAACCCCTGAGGCACCGCCCTTGGGGCAGACCGGGCCTTCGTTTCGCGGAGACTTTGCAGGACCTGGCTCCTGATCTACTGGGCTCCCGTCGGCGTAGCACTCGCTTGCGCCACTCGCATCAGAGCAATATCAGAGCTTCCCGAATCGTGTTGGCAATTCCATAGGGTGCAGGGATGCGAGAGGTATTCTGGTCGGCGTAGTATGCCATGCTCGTCGGAGACATTTTGGGGTTGCAATCTAGCCAGGGCATTAGCAACGGGGAGAGTGGGAATTCCCAACAATCACCAGCCGTTCCTGGCAGCATCATGGTGAGTAAGCAAATGCTGCAAAAACCTCAAGTCACTGGTTCTTGCTAGGTAATGCCTTCCCATCCAAGGCTACAGTGGCATGAACTCTGCGTGCTTGATCAGAAAAGTGTGTCCGAGGTCTGTGTGTCGGTTTACTTCAACATTTGCCCCCTGACAGCCGTGCATTACGGAGCTGTCAGGCGCGATTCAACTCGGCACGGGTGTTCATCTGGTTCATGATGAAGCTTTTAGACTGACATGCATGACGGGTAGATGCATGCATGATGCAGATGCCAGCAACTTCTTGTGCCGCGACTGTGCTGCATCTCCTCCGATCGTAGACAGCACAACGGAGAGCTAAAACAGCGTACCGCCTGACAGGAATCAGGAGCCCGTGCTGATGCTCACCTCGAACATGGGCCTCCCTCAGAGCTGCTGCGCACCTCAGGTGCAGAACATGCGGGGGACATCCCAAACCGGAGCGGAGCGGTTAAAGAGACGCGGTTTGGGCAGGTGATTGTTCCGGAGTCAGATTCCCTAGCACTGGACCAGTCTGCTGGAGTGCAGGTTAGTCGCGCCCTCGGCTCCCGAGCTTCAGCAGCACGCTAAAAGCAATGGCTTTGTGCGAAGGTGTGCCCTGCGTGAGTCCGGGCGAAGTTGGAACAGGTGGCCAAATCGTGGGCACATAGCTTGCTGACGCTGTTTTGAAGTGGTGCCCCCGCTAGTTTCAGGAAAGAAACACAATGACCAGGGTGAGCACGCTTCGCCACTTCGCTCAATCAGGCAGCCGCCGGCCACCTCGACTGTACTACGCTGGGAACTTGGCAGCGCAGCAGTGCCTGCATCCTGCGTGCACTGTTTCGCCAGAGAGCCGCGCAGCCAGCTTTCCGAGCGTGTCAGAATCATGCCGCTCCCCGGCCTTTACACATACGACTTCTATGTTGAAGCAGCAGACTGCGAAAATCCGCCGAATTTGCGCCGAGGTAGTCGTTCCAGATGGGCGCCCGAGTCCTTCCAGCCTCCAGGCCCTTTCTGGTGACTGACGGATGTTTGATGGCATGACTTGCTTCTCTGCAACACACCAGAAAAAATGTGCCGGCGAAGACCCAAAACCAATTGGAAGCCAAATTGTCGGCACGAATTTTCGGGGTTCGACTCGCACACTCGCTCAAGGCAGGCACGGCTTCCAGACAAGTCCGAAACTAGAGCATCTCACTACTACATTTTCGGGTTTAGGGACGTGTTGTGCTCTAGATTTGTTGAAACCAGGGCCCGATGCGTTTAGCGGGCCCTTGGAAAATGCTTTTGGTCTTGGTCGGAGGCCTCGGGAGATCGATTTGGGTTCGAGGACTGGGGCCAGGAACACCGGCAAAGCTAAAACAGCTTTGCGTGCGTTTTCCAAGCTTTGCAAAAATGCATTTTGGAGCCTGGGAACCAAATAAAGCATTTTCGGTGCGATTTTCGGGCGCAGGGACGGCGTGGAGATCCGGATTTGGTGAAGCAAAGGCCAAGTGCGTTTAGCAGGCGTTGGGAAATGCACTTGGCCCTAAGACTCAGCAAAGCGGAAGCAGATCTGAATGCATTCCAGAGCTTGAGCCTTCGATCCAATGCCTTCCAACCCTAGCATCACTCGCAAGCAGGCTGAGAGACATGGTGCTTCTGAAGCATGCATAAAATTATTTTGCGACAGCTGCACGGCTGCAGCTAGGCTTGGCGAGCTCAGGTATCTGATCAAGTTGCAACTGCACGAAGGACAAATCATGCAGAACAAGACAGAAAAAACAAGGCCACGGCGTGCAGCTGCTTCTTTTCGCCCCAACACTGTGAAAAGTCGCAGTCGATCTAGCCTAGTGGTCGATGTCGATCTAGGGTGCTTGGAAAGTGTCGACAATCCCTTGCACCTTCTTGGGGACGATATTTGAAGGGCATCTTGAATCCAGTGTGAAGCCGGCTTCAGCATATCTACTGAAGCTTGTGACCAAACATCTTGCCAGGCGCTGCCGTCTTCAAAAGATATGTAACCAGCAGAATTTGTAGGGCTTTATCCTGGATGCATGTGCAAAAGCCCAAGTTTTAAGTAAATTGGACAACAACTCAACTAACTTTGACAATATTTCGGTGGAGGAAACCCATCGGAAGCTCCTTAGAGGGAGCCCGATTCACATTTGAGGATATACAACGGGTTAATGTGAGGAAAAGCAGACCCCAGTATTATCTTCCAAGTGAGTGCGAAGCGTGATAAACTGTCTTCCCAACAGCTCGCAGGAGGGGAGGAGTTGAGCTCCAGGGCTGCGTTCCAAGCATCCATGTGCGCCTTTAGTTTCAGTGCGGCCTTCTACCCGTCCTGCCCACCCATCTAAGCCCGCGGGCCCCCGGCGAGCCGCGTGCAACCCATACGCACGAGCCCTCCATCCAAGCTCCCAGCTCAAGATTGAACATGCGACCATTTTTCAATCTCTGGCGTTGTGTCGCTTCTATTCACATACAAGGAACCAGCCAATCCACAGGGCGCTCCGGTAGCTTAATCGCAGCAGCTCCTGAGCCAAGGTCTGCCTATAAAGGCAACAAAGACTGCTTCCATTTGTTTGTGCTGCCAAGCATTAACAAAATCTGCAAGTCCCAAGCAGATCTACAGCTTCTGCAGGGTGAGGTCCATGTCGGCCATGACACAGGCTGGCGGAAAGCTTGCTCGGCAAAGAAAATCAGGGCCCCCACGCAGAGCCAGCAGAGCAGGCCCTGCTCTCAAGATCGGCGGCAAGCGCGGACGGCGAGCATCGAGCATGAGCATGGAAACTCGTGAATCGGGCTGCAGCTGCAAGTCAGCGGCATGCTCCAGTCACAACGGGATGAAGGGGAAGCCAGGAGATGCACATCTCCAGTTCTGATGCATAGCTTTCGAGCTGCACGTGATTTTTTTGCATGCCACCATGCCGATGGACCAGAAGCGCAGGGAAGATTCGATAGGTCTTTGCAGAGTAAGGTACTGTGTTGCCTGCCGTCCCCACACACACACACATTGACATGTTAAGGAGGAGACTCTAAGTTGCACAGCCTCAGAATGTTGGTACATTCTGCTGAGGACCCGCAGAACGCTGACCCACATGTTCATGCAGAGCATTTGCATGATGCTTGCAGGTTATGGAAGGCCGTGGTGGTGATGGAAACCGTGGGCTGCGATACGGTGCGAGCCGGCAAGGGGGGAGCAGACATGTCAACCGGGAAAGATCCGTTGAGTGCACGGGATTCCGCGACTGGCTGATGCATAGCAGGTCATGCGGAGGCAACACCCTTGCAGATGCTGGAGCCTCAAAGCTTTTTGGTTGATTCGAGGCAGGCCGTTCGCAATTCCGTTTGTCCAGGCGCTGGTGGCTCACCAGCCACGGTTTCGCTCCAGCCGTCTACGAGGTGACTGTGAGACAAGGGGATGCAGCCTGCATTTCGCCTCGTGCCTTCCACTGTTTCTTGGCGTGCGTTACAGAGAGTAGATCTCGAAAAGTAGCTGTCTTGGAAGACAGGCCATGCGGAAAAGCGGTGCTGGCGGCCTCGGGAGTGGAACCCAGTCTCCTAGTATTCGGGACACAGGTCGTGGCAGAAGGCTTCTAAGGGTCTGAGGTGGTCGGATGACTATCCGTCATCAACTCAGGCTGTACCAGAACACCTTCCCAAACCTAGCAGAGTGGACCATTGGCGACTTTCCTTGGATGGCCCGGAGCCCTGAGCCCAAGGGATCCGAGCACCGGAAAGGGGTTTCCTGCAATTTGGGATCCAGAAGTTCTCCTGCAAAGGCCAGGGCTCGTATCTTCGTCACTGCGGTGAATCAAGACACCGGCGCGCTCAGCCACGCACTTACACCCCCCCACGTTTGCGGCTGTGCCTTGGCTGCCGTGACGGCATCGGGCTCAGGCCCGTCACCGGTGCAGTCGGCTGTGATCATGCGCAAGGTCTGCTCCGCCCACTGCCTCAGGCCTCGCCTGCGTTTCGTGCATTCTGCGACCGACCGCTGGGGATTCGAAAGAGCGAGGTGCGACTCCGAAGGAGCGTGCCTGGCCTGTGACAGTGGCTACGTGCTGGAAGTCGGACGCCCAGGAGCATAGGAGTGCAAGCACGGCATGTGACTCGCATTTCAGCGCTCGCCGCCGGATGGGCCACGCCCATCACACCAGGAACGCGAGCAAGATGCACACCAGGTCGGACCTGGCTTGGATCGAGTTTCGGATGCTCTTCGCATCTCTGAAGGCGCCTGCGACAGGGCGCAAGTTCCGGGCTTGCCTGCCTGGGTCCTGGAACTGCTGAAGCTTCCTGTGTCAACTGGTGCATGTTTGCACGGGCCGAGGCCCTGTGGTGAAGGATGTGCACAGTGCCACAAGTCAGGCAAGAGTTTCGAGAAACTGCACTATGTTGCTGTATACAAGCATGTCGTGAAAAGATGGCGGAGTACAGTAGTAGGTGGTCTCATGATCTGCAAGTTCAAAGTCATTTCCCTTGAAGCTCAGGCTTTGCGGTGCAAAGAGGAACACAGATGTGTTGTCAGGGCAGGATGTGAGGCTTGTTCTAAAGCTATCGTGGGGCCCCAGCAATTATTGTGCGATTAAGGCTCCGACTCAGGACTGATGTGCTCTCACCATGTCACAGAGCTTCGGATCCGTTGGTGTTCAATGACACACACACACACACCCGCGCGCTTCTTCTGAACTTGACCCTCAGGTCACATAAATATTTCGACAGAGCCGCTTGCAGAGAGGAGTGCAGCAGCTGATCTCAGCAGAGGAGCGATAACGAAGCCTCGAGCTCCCTTGAAAAGGCCTCCAGCACTCAGCTTCAATGCCACCTTAATTACATTTACTGGCGTTGGTATTAGCTTTATCATTGCTGCCACGGCTTGTACGATGTTGCAGACATGTCTTTGCTGTCTAAATGGCTGCCATGCGAACACGGACGACCCGTTCTGATTCTTGCTGTCATTGCCGATACTGGCACGGCCAAGATGATGGTATTTTGGAGAGTTAGTTTTCGCGTCACTCCGTTCCATGTTTCTTTTCCATAGTATTGTTGCCATGGCTGCCATCATTCCATTTAAACCAACTCTCTCGCTCTCTCTCTCTCTCTCTCTCTGTCTCTCTCCCCCGGTGGTATCATACGGTCTACCGAATCATTAGTGAATATCTGCAGCAGGCAGTAGGCATTATGTTTTCTGTCGTGATGCATGCCGTGAATTCTTTGTTTTTGGCTCTCAAGTTGTTGCAAATACAAATGTACGAAAGAGATTGAAAGTTAAGGCAGCTTGACATGTGTTTCCTGTTGTTGCATTTCCAAGAAGAAGCTAGCCAGCGCAGCTGGAGGCCCTGGGCGTTGCGATGAAGGGAAATGCGTCCTAGGCCTGGAAAGCTGCGGCTCAGATAAGCCGGGAAGCTCCGCTGTCAGAGTGGCTCCAGTAAGTCGAAGCGCCAGGGCGTGGGCTTTCGTTGACCGGCCAGTGCCGCGAAGCTCAGCGCAGAAGGTCGCGCCGTGCTGCAGCGTACAGCCTGTTGGGCATGAGACTTGAGAGCAGAAGGTCGCCTCAGTGGTCAGAGTCGAAGTCTTTCTGTTTGTAGATGGAGGCTTAAAGTCATGGCATTTCGATCCTTCTCGGAATACGCATTGTGTTTTCAGGCCTCTCTCAGAACGAAGTTCGAACTGGTCCAAGTGCTGAGGTGTTCCATGTGCTGGAAGCATCTGCTCGGGCTGCGACGAGGAGGTGCTGCCTGAACGGATGCTCGCTTGCTGCATCTTCGAACCTTGGCAAGACTCCAGCACAGGCCACAAGCCTGGGCTGGGCGCCCAGGAAAATCTCTTGGGAGGACGCCGAAACAGACACGTCGGATTCGCCCCCCAGTCATGTTGTCGGGCAAGGTTGCGTCGTTTACGAGCTGTGTCACAAAAGCTGACAGCAAAGCATCAGAGCGCAGTGTTTAGGATAAATGGAGTCTGGTTGTCCCTTGTTTTTCGCCGAGGTCGTTCTGCCACTGACGACAGTGTTGCAACTCCAACAGAGCTCCCATGCCACTGCCTCGGACATGCTTTGTTTGTTCCTCGCAAAAAGCTTCTTAGAAAGGATACTTGGAAACTGATCCGCCAGCTGTGTCAGGTCGTCGCTGCCCTGCGACATTCGGCCTCACGAAAGACCGCCGGAGTTGCGAGTTCGGGTCCTGGTCTGTGCGCATGGATTTCTGCGCCAAGAGAAAGGCCTATCTTGGTTGAGGCCATGTCAAGTTCGCGGTTGCCGGCGATGCGATGGACTCCTGGACTTCTGCCAGGCCAGTCTCAGCTGCAGAAGGCTTTACTAGAATCTGGAAGCTCGCTGTGAAAAGGCTGTCACACACGCTCAATTGACAGCAGGCGTAGCAAAGGAGCTTTCCAATTAACAAACTCTAGACTCTAGATCTCATGGAGTCTTCAGTGTGGAGATGGAGTACTTTGGTCCGATGAGCTAGCTGACCCAAGCTGCTTCAGCCTGGAAACCAACATCATGAGTCGCATGCTTCATCGCATGAATCTTGGCGTATGTCGGGTGACGACGATGTTTCGCGCTTGATAACCATGAGGACCAACATGAGGATCAACTGTAAGCTTGGGTTCGCTTGGAGCAAGGGAAGATGCAGAGACTTTGCAATGACACTCGCAAGAGATGTTCGGAACACTGAGCGGCACCATCAGCACAGATTCTCTTGTCGCGATTGTCTGTGCTTGTGATTCAGGAATGCGTGGAAGGCTCGACACTCAAGAACAGGAGCGATGGCATCAGAATTGTACAGGACTGCTCTGAAGACTTGCTGCCTCGGTGGGGTTCCCTTTGGAGTTGCAGTCGGTTTGAGTCAAGCGGCCACTTGGTGCACGAGGACTGCCTGAGCTGCGCCGATCACTGTTCCAGGCCGGCCGAGCAGCTCACACTGTCGCCGGCAGTGGCAGAAAGCTGCACTTCGCGTAGGTGCGAACTGCTGGGAGAAGGCCGCTGCGATCCGGAGCGCTGCGACCAGGGCTTCAGCCTGACACCCACAGGAGACCGGGAAAAAAACGGAGACCGTCTTCCACCCTCAGCAGTCTGAAGCTGTTCCCAGCGCACGCGTTTTCTTGTTGACTATCAGCAGGCGATTGTAGTGAAGTGTAGTGCTGTTGGTTGAAAGCCTTAATGCTGACGCGAGGAGTGTGCGCCCCCTGCTCCATGCACTGCTCCAACTGCAGCCTCTCGAACTGAACAGCTGCATGTTGAGGTTGCCTCACCTGTTTGCAGAGTCCCGAGTATGTCTTATCTGTATTTTTACCTGTTTGTCTCTGTTTAGCCAGCGCTCTTCGTTGGATAAGGAGAGGGGGCCAGGACCACTGAGTGTTGAAAGCAACAGGGAGCCTGGGAGGCCCTTCCCTTTGCAACTTCCGAAGCCCATGTTCCAACTTTCTGGGATTCACTAAAGGAAAGAAAATGTATATAAAAAAGAGTTGTGCGCCACTGATGTCGCCCAAGTCTCGAGCGTATGCTAGCAGTCACCAGTGTGGCGTTCTGCTTGTGACTCCGTCTTCAGGCAAAGCTGGCCCTGGTCACTGCGACTCAGGAGACGAGAGTGACCCCAGTGCTGCTCGCGACGAACATGTGTCAGTTCAGTCAGTGATTTCTCCTGATCTGTTTCACCAGACACCACGGACGAAAAAGTGTTGGTTTGATCTTGTCAGGCGGCATCGTCTAATTTGGTTTTCCCTGGGTTGGCACAAGCACACAAGCATGTGTGTGGTAGAGCAGGGTGAGTACCGCAATCCAACCCATTGCTGAGAGGAAGCTGCCGAGCTGGCTATGGTCTGCAAGGAGGCAGACAAGAACGCTTTCTGCGTTGCGCCGGGGGTTCCGGGACGAGCATCGGGCAGAACCTAGTATTCAGCTGAGTGCGGCAGGCACGGACTGCTCGAAGTGCCAAGTCGAAGGTTGTGACGTCTGCGCCCTTTGTCAGAAAAAGACCCCTGGTGATAAGGCATGGTATGGTTTGCCTTGCAGCACCGGCTTCTTGAGTAGGTTGCGATTGGGTTCAGACGGCATGGAGACCCAAACGGTCGATGCCTTCTTCTCGTGTTGCGGACCGAGGACCTGTCCCTGGGTCGCTGTGACGTCTGCCGCGAGGGCTTCGGACTAACACCGGACCGCAGCTGCGAGGCATCCCTTGCACAGCTCTGTACGAGGAAGTCGCGGACCGATAAAGACACATTGAAATTCTCCTTTCTTGCAGCAGCATTCAAACAAGCCATGACTGAAGTCATTGTCTAAACATTATCAGTGTAAGGGATACTCGGAAATTCGCTTAGTTTACGGAACCTTGGACGGCATTCGCCGATACAACCGTCGTCACTACTTGCTGGGCGCCGGACAGGTGACGCTACCGCAGTTTTTGAAACTTGCCTCCCTTGGAACCGTGCAAGGCCTGCGCGACTGCCTGCAAACGTTGCACAGGGGCTGGAGTCTTGGAGGGTGAGAACAAAAATCAGTGGAGGTAAGCCAGTCGGAGGCACAACTTACACCACACATTGCGAGTAAGACACTCCCCAACCTTGGCTCAGGCAGGTGTCTCTCCAGGCTGCGCAGACACTTGGCAGCAATGCTGATAGGTGAAAGTGCGTTTCGGACAATGCAATAACACTCTTGACGTGAGATAGATGTTCTACTGCGTGTCTCAATGCTCAAGACCTTGTGTCCAACCAGGAATGCGTTCCAGGATTTGGGCTGGATGCGGGACGATGCTTGGTCGGAAGCTGATCATGCAGGACACGACACTGCAAGCATACAGCACGGCAAAAAGGCTTCGTGCACAAGTGGCTGTCCAACTTTTTTCACCACAACGGAAACCCATCCGAATGACAGAGGCTTGTGCCGATCAGTGTGAGCGCTGTTCTGCCCGTGGCCCTGGTTTCTGCGACGAGGCACCGTCGTGCCGGCACGACCTGTCTTGACAACGATGTGATGCGTTCTGACATGTTCTGCATGCTCCGCAACATCAGCCCACGAGCAGGACTCTTGCAGTGTTGGCTGGGTGCGGTCCTCAGCCTTGCGAGGTTTGGCAGGTGTTCATTTGCAAACCCAAAGCATCGGACTTGCAAAGGTTGTTCGGAATGTCAGCGGCCGCGTTCTCAGCTGGAATGCCAGGTTGATGATGCGGTTCCGTTATTGGATATTTGTTGCTGCACAGCTGAGTTCAGGCTCGGGCTACATCTGCGTGCGCAACAAGATGCCTCATAGCCACGACTTCGGCTGAAAACGCCGCGTTGGACTTGCTGTCTAGCAGTGTATATTTCAAGATGTCCCTAGGAAACAAAATATTTTTGTGCGATGGGCGTTACTACTGAGATACCGCCATCATCCCACCACCAGAGCCGCCGTCCCTTGGTGTGATCCTTTTATCATATATGAGTCAAGGCACGAATAAGGCATTTCCCCCGAAGCATAATACTATAAGCCAACCTATAAAATTAACCAATTTCATATCATATACGAAATAAAATCATGAATGGAAAAATTCTTTCTTTACGGAAAAATGATAAAATGTTTTGCTTCGATGCTTGTTAGATATGCCTTGATTGTACGTATGTGTTTCGATTATCGAGAATTCGTTGTTTAATGTATTTAGTGCGCTGGTTATGAAACGATATTAGGAAATAAAATGGTTCGGCTACAAAATTTGGATAGTATATTGATTTGATAAAAAAAATCATTTATTTTCTATAATATTTTTGGTAGAGTCAATTGTTATATATATTTCTATGTCTTAATTCGAATTATATATTTATTCTTTTAAGAAATCTTGAAATTTATTAGTGAAATAAATATGACTCTGAATATCTTCTTATTTTTAAATAGTATATGGGCAAAAATATTAAGCTTATTTGGATATATATTATATTTTATGATATTATTAAGATATTTAAATTCTTAGTATTTTACAAAAAAAATTAAATAATAATTATAAAATAATTATAGAAATTTAAAATTTAGAATAATAATTTCTTTTGAATATTTTTTTCATATAATTATCGAATAATCTAGAATTTTGTAATATTTTTACAAATTTTTGAAAATTTCGTTGATGGTCATAATAGTTCTCGAAAAGAGAAAAAAAATATCTCTTAGATTCAAAACTTTTGAATAAAATATATGAATGTCGTGAAATTAGTCTATTATATAAATATATGAGATTCGTGGTACTATAGAAAGCAATTGTTGTATTAGATTATCTGTTCATATCTCGATTCTCGATCGGTTTTTCTGATATTTTTAATTTTATAGAGATTAAAAATATAATATAAAATAAATTCTTTAAACATGCCGCAATTTCATAAGAATTATGAATTCTATTATTCATATAAATTAAAATATATTTTTACTATCCGCACTTGCAAAACTCATAATATGTGTTTGAAATTTTGGAATGAAAAAGATTGTGGAAATCTTGAAAAGAAAAAAATATATCTTTTGATTGAAAACTACTTGTTTCATCTTCGAGAAATTTTGGTTTATTCAATTATAAAGTGTCATTTTTATTCATTCTTCTTTCATTTCGAAGCAATGGTTTGTTTTTTTTTGACATCTTGAATCGATTTCTATTATTTGTTGTGTGGTTAATTGATTTTTTTTTCGATGAATTATGGGTTCGAACTATACATATTTCCAAAATATATATAATAATTAAAATTTCTTCTGTCTGTTTTTTTATATAATGATTAAATCTAGTTTTTTGTAATTGGGGAAAAAAATTTCTGAAAATCTCGCTGATGGTAATGTCAATTCTCGAAGCGAGAAAAAAAGTCTCTGAGATTCAAATTTGAGATTTTGGTCGAGAATCTTGAAAAAAATGTTCGAAGCTCGTGAATATTCTATTATATATATAAATGAAATTTGTTGTCCTGATATTACTCACTAAATTATATCTCAAACTATTGAAATGACAACGCTTTATTAGATTGTACATTCATATCTCGATTTTCAATTATTTCTTCTGATATCTTTAGTTTTTCTCATGTTTTTAAGTCTGTAAAAAAAACCTATATTTTAACATACATTCTTTAAAGATTCCGGAATCTGTCAGAGATTATGAATTCCATAATTCACACAAATTAAAATGAATATTTAATATCTTTACTTGCAAAATTAACATTATATGCTTGAATCTTTGAAAAGACATACATGAGATTTTTGAAATTATTGTCTTGAAAAGAAAAAGGAGTTACTGGATTGAAAACAAATTGTTTTCTCTTCGAAACATGTTGGTGTGTTCAATTTTTATTTGTGTCATTTCGAAAAAAGAAAAAAGACTCTGTGGCTTCGCAGCAGCCGCCCAAGTCCCGCCCCAACTGAGTAACTGCAAATTGTTTTATTACAAACAACAGATCACAAATGGAAGTGTCAAATTTGATCAACTTTCAATTTCTGTCCTAACAAAAAAAACATTGCATGACGATACAAGGTCAAAAAATCAGACAGGTTCAACGACTTATTGCAATTCGGAACACGTATTCGAAACACCACCATTGAAAAGAACCGACAAATAGCACTTATACAAAATACATCCAGAGTTGTTGTTTTTGGAAATCAAAAGAGGATGGCAATGAGCAGTACCCACGCCCACAGCCATAATGTTCACAGAGCCGAATATGTTTGCCAAAAGTTAAATGTACCGTCATAAGCATCACATATGACTTGTTTGCATGCTTGGTTTTTTCTCCCATCCATTTCTTAGGCAAGTAATAATACAACTTGCAAGGAAAAACAAATAGCCGCGCCTTGTGGAAACAACAAGAAGTGACGAATCATCTTGCGTGAAAGGCTTATGAAAAAATGCTTCAAATGCAATCTTGTTTTCAAGCGGAATATTTACGCTTGAAACTAATCCAGTCATTTCAACTGGTAAAATGAAATAACGATTCACAGATAGCTTGCGTTTTTCAAACACCGAAAATTTTTTTTGTTCGGGGCAGAACATCATTTCGCGAGTTGGTCCACAAGCAGGAACTGCGCGCCCCATGTGCCCAAGACTTCAATCGCTCTAACAGGAATCGCTCAAAAAAAAATAAACCATTCAACAAGCATTTTTGATGTAAATGTATGAAATTGAAAATTGAATCGTTTCAAGCAAAACATAACAGCAAGTCATTTCATCGTCTGGACTCCCCCAGCAGATTGATCTCCGCAAACCACAACTACCAATTTGGTTCGTATAATCGAAAACGTGGGCAATGCTGCTTTTTCCACACCAGCACTTACAAGAAAGAAAAACATACAAACCTTTGTCATGTGACATTATATATTGCAAATAGGAGCTGCAATTGTTAAAATGCAATTTTGACTTTACCATTTTTGTTGACAATTAAAGCTGATATCCAAAGGGCATTTTTTTAATCATACTTTTCTCAAAAAAGAACATCATTTTCATTCAAGTTCTTTTTTTCATCCAGTTTGTATATAAATTCCACAATGCTTTACCTTTACAGACACTCAACCTGATATGTTTATTTTGCAAAGTTCTGAATATAAATATATCCAAGACAGGAAAATATGCCAAAAAAGCAGCTCATGAATATCATCATGAAACGACTTCAATCATCGTGCCATCACTATAAGTTTTTATACTCTACAAATCCCAGCCCGATCAAATGAAGAACATGAAACGAAAGCCATAAATATCGTACATCGGAACTCTAATGCCCATATTTTTAAGACGCAAGCTCGATCAAGAACAAACGCAGCACATATATGTTGTTGAGCCAAACACAATTATTGAAATGTTTCAAACACACTTTAGCACAAAAATAGAGAGTTGCACTCCTCCAAGAAAAAAATATTGTTCAAGCGGCGAGTACAAACAAATTTAACTTCAATGATAACAAGAATAGGATTTGTGGTAGAATCCAAATGCGGGCCTCAACTAACCCAGCTCTTGGGAACACGGTTGATGTATGGAGTTTTGCTTGAAAAATGAATCCACGCTGTAGTTGACCAGCCCTTGCAGAAAATTTTGACTGCAACCTGTATAGGGCAATTTTGCACCCGTATAAGACACTTGCAACCAGGAAGCCACACCCACGCTCTGGTCTGTTACACTAAGTGGGAACACCATTGAAATTGAGTCCGTCTTTCGGGTGAGCATTTGGCCAAATCGACGTCCTTCGAAAATCACACAAGGCTTTTTTCATTTTGAAGGTGCAGCGCAGGAGTCGATTGAAAAAACCATCGCACCCATCCGAAGTACTAGGCGGCTGGACCTTCCGCAACAAAGGCACGGCTGCAAAGCGTTGAGCTCAACACAAAGAGTTGAGAATGCAAAGGTATACACAGACAATAGGTTATACAATGTTTGGCGCGCGCTGCGCCGCGACGGATACAAAGCCACTGCAGCGCAACACCCATGCTGCCGGGGCCAAGCTGCAGTTGCAGGCACGTTGGCGCCATGTGCACAGGCAAGGAGGCAAGGCGGCGGCCTCCTCAGCCCAATGCCCGCCGATTTCAAAAACAAATCGAAGTGGCCAGCGGCGGACGTGTGGGGACAGGAATGTCCGAGTCGATATTCATGCCGGCGGCGCGATCTTCTCGGCCTACGGCGTTGGTGAGCAGCGGAGTCGCGCAAGGGCTCAAACGTAGCACGGACGTCGCCTGCCTATATTGCGGCCGCGAGCCCTCCTCCACCATCGGAGGTAGCGTTCGGGTGCCATGCACACGAGCGCCGTTGCGGAGACCAGGAACGGGACACCCGGCGGGAATGCAAAAAGCTGTGCTGCAGCCGCGCAGGGGGCGCAGCAGTGTAGCTGACGACACGCTGGCCCGGCGCAGGCAGCAACAAACTCTGCAAAACGTGTCCGCGAAGTAATTTAAATTACAGCATAGTAATATATGAATAAGCTCACTAAGAACTCATACTCGGATAGTAAGTGCTCACAATCTCGGAACCGGCGGATATTAATTACGCTAATCCGTTACTACTAAGAAAACTAGGCAACACCACCGTCCGCTACCGCAATAGCAAACTTAATTATAATACGAAACGCATCCGTTAAACCCAGCATTTCATACTTTCTTCAACTAAAAAAATCATGTAAATTCAATATCAAATTTTAATCTAGTTTGTATATAT